ACTACTCTCTCTCTCTCTCTCTCTCTCTCTCTCTCTCTCTCTCTCTCTCTCTCTCTCGCTCTTTTTTTTGGGGGGGGGGATTTATTTATTCCTTCTGCCTTCATTCTGCCTTCCCCCCTGTATACTTTTTCTCCTGCGTATGCTATGCTAGGCGAGGCTATGCTAGTAGAAAGAAGGGGAGAGGGAAGGAAGAAGAAGAAAGCCTTAATGGGTTTTAATTCGCGTTTGAGTTTGGGGAGGGTTGGGATTTGGATTGGTTTTTGGGGCGTTGGGAAGTTGGGGATGATGAAGGAATGTTGTATAGCAAGGTGGGTGGATTGTTCTCTAGAGAGCTGTGTGCAACCTGAGGTTATGTCCTCCTCTGCTGGTGACAGTTCGGGAGTTGGGGAGTGAGGAGGTTAGGATTTGGGATTTGAAATTCGGGATTTGTTTGGGCTGGGCGTAAGAGGTCACGGAAGAGAAAGCGATGATCTCAAGCATCAGATTTGGATCAACGACCACAAAAGGTATAGGTTGGTTGAAAGTACTCGATATCTGTATATGCAGCAAACGCGAAGAAGACCACCAGGGAGCTCCAGGTTTGGCAATCAGAAATAAAAAGAGAAAAGCGGTTCCGGCAGGACTCGGGGAAGGCCTATTGGGAGAGAGATATAATCTCCGAAGGCGGCACCGTCTCTTTCTTTACGGCTTGCAACACGAGACATAGCAGTCCTGACGTAATGAATAATATTAGTATCTGTACTTCTAAATAGTAATCTGCTTGAAAGTACTTACATATTCGCGCTCAACAGGGCATTCACCATCATGGCAAGTCTCCTAAAATAAAAGTTAGTAAGCTCTTCCTCTTCTAAGTCAGTAGAGGAGAGGCTTACAGTTGAAAGACATGGCTTGTATAGCCAATTGTAGTATTTACACTTGGGGCTGGGCTGTTTTCGACGTTAGTTATTTGGATCCTCACATCTTATAATATGTAAGAGAAACTTACAAGATAACGAGTCGGGGCACAAGTGTAGCGCGGCTGGATAAGTGGGTTGGCTTGTGACTGAGTAGGGATTGCGAGGGAAGGGGTAACAATAGCCGCCAGTGCGATAGCGAAGAGAGTGAACTGCATTTTGATAGAGTGTATATAGACTCGTGGAAAAGGATAAGTGAATAATAGTAGACGTTGAATGAATATGAAGTGAATGTGGTTTTGGTCTTGTTTCTGCTGGACACACTGCTTTCTTATATACTGCGTCCGGTGTAAAAGAGAGGGTTATTAGCTTGTCGGTTCCTTGTTCATTGAACTACGTACGAGTCATTGCCCCTTTGTAATGTATTGTAGACACCTGGTCTGCCACGCTTACTGCCAAGGGCCATTCTGGCCAAACTAGCTAGGGTCATCATCTTCGATAGAAGGCCACCCTTACAGATAAAACAAATAACGAACTTTAAACCTATCCTTTTATGCTCTTTTATAAGGAACCATGAAGTCTTGCCTTCTTATGAAGCTCTTATATAACAGCTTTTCTTATAGGCTTTATGTTAACAACTTACGCAAGGATTTGAATCTTTAGATCTCGTCCTTATATAGTTTATTACAATTACTCGATTCGCAGTCAAGTTGCTTTTACTCGGTTTCCTCTTTACGTTGTACCTATATTTCATAATCAAGACTTGAGATTAATGAACCTCTTATTTCAAAAGCGCCGGACCTGGAAACGCCGCAATAGCCGAAACACAATCTTTCCGCTTTCCGACAAAAACTCTCTTTCATTGCCGATAAAACAGATCTCTTGTTTACTACTGTGGTGGAGCTGGCGTTCTGGTCTATTTTTGCCCTTGCATTAGGCCTTGTATCAGGCCCTACTATCACGTGCCTCTGCTCTACTAGGCACGTTGTCAAGTCACGTGCACACGCCTATATAGACGAGTAGTTGGTTCCTCCCTGAATCATTATCATCATCAATACAACACATATATACTTACAGAACACAATCGAGTGTCTTTCGAACGTCCTCCTTTACCCCTCCTTCTCACCCACGACTTTACCATGATTATATACGCATGTATCTCTTGATTCGCAGTCAGGTATATGTCGGAGCTCTTCCCCTCCACATTACTAAAAATACCTTTTTTCTTTTCTAGCTTTTATTTGGAACAAAAAGAATGTTTGATCACCGATCGCGATCGTGTGATGGATATTTTTAACGTCGTAATATTCTTGCAATTGCAAAACACTTGATTGCTACGGTGCTGGCAGGCCTCAGGCCTTGGCGTGGTTAAGGGTTGGTTGGACTAGTCAACTAAGACTAGCGGCCGCCCTAGGTACAAAACCTCTCGGCCTTCTTGTATTGTAGTTGTTTCTTTCCACGTCTTTCTTTCCTACTCTCCCCCCCCATGAATAAATGTCGAAAGTATAATTTCGCAAGGGGATCTTACCAAGGCATAAACCAATCAACTTACTACGTACTACGTACTACGTACTACGTATAAGGATTCACTTTTAGAAAGTATCTTTGAGCTAGTATTTAGTCTATACAGTAGAGTTGACAGGGCTTTGAGCTATTAAGAAACCACCGCTCTATGATTTATAAGCTTAAACTAGGTCCGACATATTCATAAAGGAGGAGAGTAACGCACACGATTCCTTCTATTCGTATAAAAAGAGCCAGCTCCTTTGAACGTTAGAAAGCATACAGAAATCGAATACCATATTTACTAATGTAACGGTTAAGAAGAGGTAGTATTATAATAGCTACCAATCTATACGCTTGGTAATACTCTCCCCCCTTATGAATAAATGTCGGACTCAGTTTAAGCTTATAAATCATAGAGCGGTGGTTTCTTAATGGCTCAAAGCCCTGTCAACTCTATTGTATAAACTAAATACTGGCTCAAAGATACTTTCTAAAGGTGAATCCTTATACGTAGTACGTAGTACGTAGTAAGTTGATTGGTTTAAGCCTTGGTAAGATCTCCTTGCGAAATTATACTTTCGACATTTATTCATGGGGGGAGAGAATAGCTATATAATAAGTTTTCTAGTCAAGTTAGGGATTCGTTAAAGCACAAGCGCGTGCCATGCTAAGCGAAGCATGAACCTTGGTTCATAAGTAAAGTTTAGCCATATCACCTTTAATTATAATTAATTACATCGAGTCGATATGTAGTAGTAATAGTAGTAACAGTAGTATTGTTTTAACGCCTGCTGCGGGTCTTAAAAAGGAGTCCGACCTACCACCTCCTTAAGGGTATAATTCGGTAGCGTGCCGGCATTAAATCCCACCTATAAGCACTCCGCAAAGGCAAGTGGCATCTTGATTAATTAAACAATTCTTTAAATACGAAGTTCATCTACACCGATAAAGTAGAAGCCCGTAAGAAAAAAGGCTAAATCGATATAAAGTCCCGGATCTTTAATCCCGCGGTACAGGCCTAAGTACTACTACTTATAACCCCTCGAGGGTGCCTTAAAAGTCTAGTTTCCACTTTAAACCCCCTGCTTACCCTACCCTCGAAGGGTAATACTTACGCCTAGGACGTAGTAATTCTAGATTTCGGAAAGGGTCGGCCCGAATTAAATATCTCCTACAGCTAAGCTTAATTTAACCACCGCTATCAATTCTGCCGCACGCAACGGCGCGTCGACGCGTTATATAGGTTCGCGTGCACGGACCACCTTTTTTTCCCTTTATATAAAGACCACTCATTGGTATGAAAGTGCACGGGCCATTTTTCTTCTTAATTAAGCTTTTAAAAAGACTGATAAAGCCGCATATTAAAAACTGCGATATGCAACAAAACCAAAAAAAAATTCGAGCTTATCGAAAATTTTGACTTTAATATATATAAGCTAGTATTAGCAGGAGTTCATTCGAGAGTAAAATAGAAAGAACCTTAGTAGTCTAGTGATAGCAGTTCAGTAAGTAGAAAAACTATGTTTCTTAAGTATACGTGCAATTTTCCTTTTTTTTTCCTTTTTTTTGGTAAAAATATATAATTTGTAAAAACGTATACGATTAATCGTCGGTTACCTCGAATTTAATTTGGAAAAAAATCCCGAGCTAGAGCAAGTCGGTCAATTCTTTCGAATTAAATTTAAGGAAACCGACGATTACGGGCCAACTTTTGTTAATATAACTAATTCGCAAAGGGGTCTAGGGTTGCTCTAGTGAAAAGGGGGCTTTAAGGGGGTCCCCCTTTTATTATAAATTATTAAAATATAGTAGTAAGTAATGCGCAAAGGGGTCTAACGTCTCCCCGGTAAGAAGGTGGGTTTAAAGGGGTCTCCTCCTTATGAAGAAATATTGAATAAATCTTTTCCTATGTAATAATACCTCTATATTATGGTAGAGCTGAGGGTCTGTATTTGTTTTGTCCATATATGTAATACTATCTCTAGGCACCCATGTCACGTGGATGCATCACGTATAAGGCAGTATATAGACGAGTAATCGTCGGCTCGCTTAAGTGGGCCTCCTTTCAGCCTTTCAGTCTTAGTCGGTATAAGCGACTGCGGATCGGAAGCGAGTGCGGATTTTTCGAATGTGTTAAAAATTTTTATATACTATAGCAATTAATTACTATTACAACTTAAAATTATTTATATAAATAATTAATCTGCGATTATATCTTCTTTCGAAACATCCGAAATCGTATCATTTGATAAAACATTTGACTATCGATTGCTATTTTCAAAGTCTGATTCGTCTTTTACTTTACGCAACGAATCGTTTAAATCTCTACTATTATAAAATTGAAACTATCGCTATCGATATTAATACTAGAAAAAGGAAAAACATTTTGCTTTAAAAAAGGGTCTCTAATAGTATCGGTTATAATTATCAGATCATCGTTATCGTAAGAAAGTTCGAGTTGAGAAAGAGTTGGTCGAGGAATACCTTTTTTACGAGGCCGCAAAATTTAACCTTTAAGAAGTTGTTGCATCTATTAAATCTTTTTCGAATCGAGAATTAGAATGAGCATTGTATTGTCGTCTTTAATAATTAAGCTTATAGCAAAGCGTTTTCGTATAATACTTTTACGCCCGCGCTCAACTATGCGATTCCTTTACGATATTTAATATCTTTTTCTTCTTTTTAAATCTTATCGACGCGTTGTTATTTTGCAGTAGATTCAAGATTTTCTTTACTTTGCTGCTTAATAGCAAGCTTGTTATCGATTAATAATACGATTTTAAATGTTTCGGAAAAAGATATGCTCGTAAATTAATTATTTATATAAATATTCTTTAGTTAATTATAATAGTAATTGCTATAATATATAAGAATTTCTAATACATTCGAAAAATCCGCACTCGCTTCCGATCCGCAATCGCTTATACCGACTAAGACTGAAAGGCTGAAAGGAGGCCTACTTAAGCGAGCCGACGATTAGTTGGTTCCTCCTTGAGCCATCATCATAGAACATACACACACATATACAAAACACATTTGAATGTCTTTCGATCGTCCCTTTTTTCCCCTCCTTCTTACCCACGATTCTATTATGATTAAGTAAACATATTTCTCTTGATTCGACGTCTGGTATATATCGGAGCTCTTCCTTTCTACAATATATATTTAGCTTATATTATTATTTATTTTATTATTTGAATTTAAATATCTTTGATACTATTAAATATAATTTTGAATTTGAAATAATTTATCAAAAAAAGTTGATTATTAACTTTCGGATTTGATTTTCTGCTTAAGATTATTATAAATCGAGTAACTAGCCCGTTGGTGACACTACAGAGAACTTGGTCCTCTGCCCTGGTCTATCCGATGTTCCCCCTCTTCCTTTGTTCCCTGAACCTCGGCTTACTTCGGTATGGCTCAGTTGCTTCAGCGACTCTGTCACTGTCACGCTTCTAGGCTGATCACGGCTTTCTGCCTCACTTTGTTTGAGACTTGTCCTTGGTGGCGGTTCGTTGCCTCTGTGATCCATCCTATCCAACCGGTAAGCTGGAAATACGCGGCTAATGCACCTTCCCGAATTTGCTCGCAGTAGCGCATCCTTCAACCTCTAGAACCTTTGGCGGCACGATTGTTGATTCTTAACCGGTTATAAAAATAGCGAGAACCTACCCTCAGGCTGTAACACTTAGGCCTGTACTGTGGTACTTGTACAACCGTCCGAACCCCTTATTCGCAGGGCACGATCATACCGTATTGTTTGGTTCAAATGAGAGCTGAGCTAGGCAAGCCCTGTACGACGGGGGCGGACAACGGCGAAAAGTTGCCGATTGGCAGGAATTGATGACTCAGAAATGGAAGTTATTCTTGATGTGTGATGTCTTCAGGAATTTTTCTTTATGACGTGTCATAGAAGATTTGAAGATCCTGGTGTAGGGGGACTTCGAATAGCTTGAAGGAAGCATCCAGTAGTTGGAGAAGTTTCCGTGTCTTCAATCAATAAAGGTTTGCCAATGACTACGTATTAATCTTTCTCCTGAGTCTTCACCATCTGTGATTTTCTGAATCCAAGTGGCTGCTTCAATCTGTATATATCAATGGAGTCTTGTCTCGAGAGTGTTGTCTTTGTTTGACGCGGTAGTGAAATCTCTGTTTGTTTACAGTGTGTGGGGCGGGGCTTCAGCTTCCAGTTTCTTCTACCTGCAGCGGTTGATTCATACGTTGTGTGTGGTTCGAATACATTCAAATTTGAGTCAGTGATGTCTTTAAAGTTCTCCATAAAGAGCGTCATCTTTCTTTGACGCGGTAGTGACATCTTTGTTTGTTTACAATGTGTGGGGCGGGGCTTCAGCTTCCAGTTCCTTCTACCTGCAGCGGTTGATTCATACGAAAAGGCTTCTGTGTGATTGTAATACCTTCAACTATGAGTGAATAATGACTTCGACGTCGTCCGCACTGGTAGAGGCAGCGAAAAGCTTTACAATCACTCCATGAGGCACCTGACTGACCGAGACTAGCTCCTCGCTTAGCAACCTAGCGTCTCATCGCACACTACATAAAGGCCACCCTCCTTCCTCAACCTCTACTTTCCTTCCGCCATCATATAAAGTCAACAACCTCACTCCACATCCACCACCTTAACACTGTGGCTTCCATCTTTGCCTACTCCCCCAGCTACATCTTTTACACCACATGCCTCGTAATTGTAATCGGTACACAAAGGTATGTCGCGCTTGCTTGACTCATTCGCCTGTTCACCTTCCACTCCGAGTTTACCTTTTACTCCACTCCATCTCAGCTCAGAACCCCTTCGCACCTTCGACATACATATAGTAGCGAAAGGTTCTATACCTTGCAGCATTTTGCTAACACTCAATCGCCAGGAACAAGAAAAGAAACATCCTTACCTTCCTCGAGGCAACAAGGTAAATCACACTTCTGAAGATAGAAAGCGATGGGTAAGCAGTATCTTCCCTTCATCCCCGCTGTCTGGCGCCAGGTTGTAAGTCATTGCTGCCACAACAGCATGTCCGGCATTCTTTCGTTCAATTTGGATGATTGAGTGGGCGTACCTGCGATGCGAATTATGTTTCTGTGTCCCTCGCGATGGACTGTAATGGTCTTGACTGCCGCTGGAATCCCGGGGTGTGCGTTGCCCGGGGCGTACGTAAGGAGATGACCAAGGTGGCTAGAAGGAACATTTTTCATGAGATAGCGGGTCGCAATCTGGCAGAATCTGTCTTACTTAGTTGGTCAATCCCAGCTAACACTGAGTCTAATATCTAGTTTAGCTCACCACCGAAGCCGAATTCAGAACCCAATCCCACTACAGACAGCCGCAAACAACGTGTAAGCAGTCTCTTCCCTTCATCCCCGCTATCTGGCGCTAGGTTATAATTCATTGCTGCAACAACAGCATGTCCGGCATTCTCTCGTTCAATTTGGATGACTGAGTGGGCGTACCTGCGATGCGAATTATGTTTCTGTGCCCAGGGGCTTGCCCGTTCGCGATGGACTGTAATGGTCTTGACTGCCGTTGGAATCCGGGCTGTGCGTTGCCCGGAGATGACTTAGGTGGCTAGAAGGAACTGGCAGAATCTCTGTCTTACGCAGATGGTAAACCCCAGCTGACACTGAGTCTACTATTTAGTTTAGCCCACCTCCGAAGCCAAAGCCAGAGCCCGATTTCACCATGGCTAGTAACAGTCAAGAAGTCGCAATTGCAAAAGGCATGCTAGCAGCCACACAAGATGAGGACAATATGCGCCTTGCCCAGCAGTTGGTAAGATCATCAAGTAATTGCTTTATTGCGAAATTTACTGATACGTGCCTTACAGTTTAACGAGAATCTCATCTTCGAGAGCCAGCGTCTGAAGGAAAAATTAATCTTCGAGAGGAATAATACAAAGGAAACTGTGAGCCTCAAGTCCAGCCACCCATAATTTGCCATGGAAGCCACATCCTAACTCACCCAAGTATGCAGAAGTCTCTCGTATCGTGAAGGAAGACATCATGGCAGCCTCTAAGGCATTCACAGACAATGTAAGGACCTTGCATTCGGTGTTTGAGATGTGCGCTGACTCGGAACCCAAAGTTCTTTGATGGCTTGGAACTTACCAGCAGAAAGGTAGGAGCCACAAAGACCTTTTATTCAATTCAGTGTTTAAGATGTGCTGACCCGAAACCCAAAGCTCGCTGATGGTTTGGAACGTGGCAGCAGAAAGGTAGGAGCTACCCCGCAACCCTTCAAGTAAGATTTCTCCCTGACTGGTAACATTACTAATTCTAATCCAAAGATCTACTTGTTCATGATTTTTGGGACCATCTGCTTGATCATCTTGTTCTTGACGTTCCTCGTCATCTGCCCGGTCTTGCTTGCCCGCTATCTTCAAACGCAGTAAGTAAGGTTCTTTGCAGAAATTTATATCCTGCCACATCTTTCTGACGATCCTCCCCCCAGAGCTACCTAGTAACATGAAGTCTGTTTCACGGATACCGATGCTGCTCGCCCGACACAGCGATGTTGAGGCACCTAGGAATACTCCTTTTTGGAGTGGGTTTTGGACTGGAGCGTGGCCGCTTGCAGGTTGCGATAAAGGATAGACATTGTTTTGGACATATACCCGGTTGAGCTAGTAGCAAAATAAGATTCCATTCGCGTTCCTAAAGACTCTATACTCAGTGACGCCTATATCCTGAAGCCAAACATCTCGTGCTCCCTACCAGAAAAACTTTTCAAGCCAATGCTGGATGATACTACGAATGGGACGCGCCGAGGAGAACAGCGCCACTTTTCTCCACCACGAATCCTTGGAACATCCCTCTGGCGATTTCGAACGCAAGACTAGGCTCCGGCAAACTATTGCCACTCCCTTCCTCTTGCTCGAGCAGTCCCGTCCGGATATACATCACGGGCTGTCGATCTGAAAGCAGGAGTCCTCCCTCCCTCCTCCCTCCCTCCCTTGAACAGCGGCAAATGGTCGGCCGGGGCAATATCCACAAGTTTGCTACTAAAGCGGCGAAACCGTTCACCGCGGCTTTGAGCGGTCGCTTTTCTGGCAGTCGATATAAACCTCGCAACCTCGCCCTGGACAACCCTTTTCCAACTCGCAATATCAACAGCAGAAGATGCACCGAAAAGCGTGAGTGCTCCTCCAAGGGCCGTAGCCATGTGTGAAACCTGCAGCGCAACCACCGGCAGCCATGTCAACCGCAAGCATTTCCGCTCCCGCCGCGGCTGCAGACGAAGTCGTGCCGCTCACCTGAGATCGAGAAAGCCTACCGGAAGCAGAAGAAGGAACCGCCCACGTTTACGTATTGTCGCAGAGCCCCAGCTACGATATAACACGTCTGTCGCTAACAGATATGCATGGAGCGGGACGTATTCGTTTACCTTCCTGATCGGCGCTGGAGACGCGCCCAAGCGATATATTCGTCATACCTACGCGAGGAAACCGCCTGCTACTATTGCAAGGGATTCGACGCGGGGTTCAAGAGCGAGCTCGTTGAAGGCGAGACGCAGACGCACAAGCTGGTGGACGCGACCGAACGAACGCGCCTTTCGACTTCTCACGCGATGTGGATGTATTTCCAGAAACTGGAGCTTGCTTAGCCGAAGCTTGACTTGCCTAAGGATAAACTTCTGTGGGCTCGCGAACAAGCGTAGATGATAGAATCAGAGAACGCCAGTCTCGCTGAGGGTTTGGGTCTTGGCTGACCGAATCGACTTGGACTCCGAACTCGATGTTCGGAACTTCTTCATTGGAGAGGAGGAGGATTGATTGTCGTGCTTTTTCGCGATTCTCTAACCAGCTAGCCGATAGATCAGGTAAGGTAAGGTATACCTGCACCTACCCGCGAATAGGACTTTTAGCATGAGACCAACCACCGGGCCTGCAGACTCATCTCACGTGAGATATTCTCACCAAGCCACTCCCCCAGGCCGTTTCTCCTCCAGCTTTTCCCTGTCACGAGAACGATTGATTGGCAGATGTTTTCTCGAAGGAGATTCGGTGGTGGATAGTAGGTAGATATTGGATGGAGACTGAACGATGATGGAAAGGTCCAAAGAATCGCTTAGGGGTTTTCTTAGGGCAGACAGGTAGTTTTCATTATTGGATGCATACATATTCGGTGCGTCTGAATGTTTGTAAACCTGGAAAAAAAAAATATATATATATATTTTTTCTCCTGACGACCTTCTTGAAGTTCTTGCCTGCCTTTTCGTAACGAAGGAGACTGCCCTACCTACTTGTGTCTCGCTTCGGAAAGCAGAAAGACAGGTTCCATGACACTTTCCAATTGATGTCGAAATATTTTTCAGGAGGTCTGGAATTGACTCTCGCCTCGTGGTGATCACTCACCATGCTGTTTGAGATGCTAAGCTCGGGAAGTGTGTGCGACTGGAGTTGAATTAAGCAATATCCCTTGCCGAGCAGTCGATGCGTTCGTGTATTCTCTGCCATGCGTCGGAGATGAGAGAGGAGAATAGGTTTACAAGGTTGATTGATTGATGATTTTCTACGTGAGTAGAGAGATCTGTGCAACGTGAGGTTGGTTATATCTGTGCACCTTAGTAGCCGGAGTGGCCTCAAGCCATCAAACTCGGTGACATGAACCCCAACAAAGCTAAAGAGCAGCCAAATAAATACAAATACATGATAAAAAAAGAGCAGCTCTTAAAGCAACCTAAATGCGTACCGCATACACCAAGATCATCTTCAAGAAGTCCCGTGTTTCGGGCGGGGACAGGTAAAAAAAGCCAATATATACAGTATTCTCATTCTCACGTCAAATAACTCATGGACTTCCGTAAGAATAACTAACCTGCCTGCCCACGTTTTGGCCTTCGACGTCGCAGGATAAAGAGCCAAGTAAGAACGTAGTACTCACAGCTCATAGCTCACGCGAAAAGCCAAAGCAAAAGCCCCCCCAAAAAAAACAAAAAAAAAACCCCCTCACAGAATACCAGACTGCATACATACCGGTACACCTTATCCCAACAGCAGGCCGTCTATCTACCTATGCATGGACAGCCACAACCCCCCGTCTCTGCCCCCCGCCCCCTAACCCGCACCCATCACCATTTGCCCTCCTCGTCTGACCCGAAGCTAAAGCCACAACCGCAACTCTCTTCCCCTCCAGGAGCCGGACCAAGACCCTACCTAGGTCTCGCAGTTCCTCTCCCACTTCCTGTACCACATCCCCTTCCCCCATCCCCCCGAGTTCCTGCATCGTGTCTCGCGGTACATCAAGCCGGTTCGAAAGCAGCTGTAGGATATCACCGGCGGCAGGATTGCAGGGTTGGATACGGGAACAGAACGATGGGGTTGGTGAAGAGAAGAAGATTATCGGAGCGTAGGTCGTAGGTCGTCAAGAGGGGGGGGGAGGGGAGGGGGGTGGGAGGGATAGGGAAGAGTTTATATAGGGGTTGTCAGAGGCACAGGCACAGGCAAAGGGAAATCTATTAAGTCCTAGTGGCTATAGGCCCGCGCATAGATAGCCATGCCTTCTTCTTTCTTTCTATCTTTCTTTCTTTCGAGTGGTTTGTATAATTTTCAAGTCTTGCAATACTAATAAAAAAAAAAAAAAGGAAATAAGTTGAAATGTAAAAAGGAGTGTGGCTGAAACGGCTTGCATGAATATTATATATATATATATATATATAAATATATATAAATATATATATGTGTGTGTATGTGTGAGTATATAAAACTAATCAGCGGACTCAAATTCACCAAACATAGTTCCCAAGCGCGTAATCAGAAGTAAAAGCAAAAAAGCAAAGGGAAAATCTACCGATTCAGACCAGCTCAAGGCCAGCGCATCCAAAGCCATGATTTTCTTCTTTCCCACTAGTGACTAGTGGTTCGCGCAGTTGCTAGACTTGCAACATACCATATCCCCGGTCTTGCAATACTAAAGTGAAAAAGATGGGTGGAAACATGAAGAAGAAGAAGAAGAAGAAGAAGAAGAAGAAGAAGAAGAAGAAGAAGAGTGTCGCTTGCAAGGCTGGCATACGTGCCAGGTCTTCTAATGATGACACCCTCAGAGGCATTCAAAAGTGTAGATCCCCAATTTAAACACCTGATTACCTAGATCTCAGGGGGTAATGATTATGCCTGTGAGGCTGTATATTCGTGTAGAACCCGTGATGGGCTTTGTTCGGAGAGAGAGAGAGAGAAAAGATTGGCGGAGCAGAGAATACAAAAGCGCAAAATTAATTTCAGGAGCGTGTTTGCGATAGCAGATAGAAGGGGGAGTGAGGTTTGTTGCATGTGTCTCCTATGGTTCGGCATCTGCTATTGAATATAGTGTACCTAGGTCCAAAACCAAGTATTGCTTGGTACCTACGCTAAAAACAGGGTTAATGGGACACTCAGAAGGAGAAGCACCTTCCAGCCTAAAATTTGGTTCAGCATTTGGGAGACTAAACCGGAATGACAATTCGATTATTGTCCAGCTTCCCAATAAATCAAGAAGTATTAGTACAAGGTGATGGATACCTACAAGTTTATTCCTCCATCTTGTCTTCCTCCGCCGGCTTCTCAGCCTCAGCCTCATCTTCATCATCCTCGCCCTCTAGCGCCTTCTTTGCTAATCTTTCAGCCTCCTCCAACAACTCCTTTGGCACCTCTTCATGTCTTCCCTTCGTCGGCCCTTCGAGATTGCTGATCCATGTCATCTCGAGCTCAAACTCCTTGTCCTTGTTATCAGCATGCGCAACGTATATGATGTTCGCGGCTGCCTTGACACCATCCAATAAGCTCAGCTTTCCCGCAGCCAGATCCAACTTCTCCATCTCGGCCTTGGCAGTCTGACGTCCCTTTCCAGTAGCAGCGCCGTAGTATCCCCAGTACAGCCCGGAAGGCTCGATCATGTAGAGACCCGGACCGCCGTACTTCTTGCCTTCGACCTGTCCCCCCGAGCCGATTGATGGGCCGCTGCCTACTTGTCCGTCGACGGGTAGCTCGAGCTCCGAATCCCAGCCTCCTACGATCGCCGTCACACCGAAGGGTCGGACGGAGGAGTAGAGTGTGTATGCTTGCATGTATCCGCCCATTCTGCTTGCGAGGTCCTTGGTCGTGATTGGCGTCTTGTAAGTTTTTCGCCAGGCTGCAGCTTCATCGCGAGCGCGGGACACGAAGTGACGTCCATCTGGTACGAGGCCTGAGGAAACCTGGGAAGTATATTAGCATTGATTCCGTATGCTAAGCGGTACAATTGTTATTGGCAACGTACTGCGCCCATATGTCGGTCGATTGTAGCAATGCGCTTGTTCGCTTCGGCTTTCAGCAGCTTGCTGGTGATGATCTTCTCAACTGCAAGCACAACACCATCTTTGCACCGGATACCAATCGAGGTTCCGCCGTTCTCTACCGCCTTGACTGCATACTCGACTTGGAAATTCCGTCCGTCGGGCGAGAAGACCGAATTCGTGAGATCATAACCCGTACCGATGGAAGTCTGTGGATGTTAGCTCTGGGAGGTTCTGCTGGTAGGGACCTAGGGTTTTCGTGGATTTGAAGCTTACCATGATGAATTTTGTGGGGTGAGCAAATCCAGCGGTCCAAGGGTAGATGATAAAGTTGTGTACGGGGAGTTGTTGAAGCTCTGGAAATGTTGTCTCCTCCGTATCCCCGTCGTGGTCCCCAAAAACGCGCGCTTCATCGTGCCTGGACTTTAGCGTCGACCTTAATTTAAGGCACCACACTTGATCCGTGAGGCAGCAACATACGCATCACGTGAATCCAATGTCAAGTAGTTGTATGTACGGTATCCACGGGCAGTTGTTCTCCTATTCTGTACTCTGTACTCTGTACTTACAGAGGTATAGTAGAGTGGAGTACCGGTAAGTGGTCCGTCCTACATAATCTCCGTATGTGCCTTTGGGCAGAAGCCGTTGGGCATGAAGTATGCAAAAGCGGATATCACGAGGGCCAAGCTCGAATCGAGATCTTCGTGTCACGGATTCATTGGTAGCAAAAGGCTTGTTGGCACCGCGCTAGCAGATCTTTGGGAGTCTGTTTCGTTTCATAGAGGTTGGAGGTAGGACCTCCCCACCCAACCGTGTCATGGATTCGGGGATTGGGAGGGGTACTTATTCAAGTCTCTATCCCTTGCCCACCGCAACTTCTGCGTCCTCATCACGACAACGACGACGACAACAACAACAATAACAACAGCAACAACTGCAACTGCAACAACAACAACAACACCCGCGCGTCTTTACAGCTATTCTGATACATCGCTCCTTCGCTCTTGCCAGGCTGCCCCTCTCTCGCAATAGTCCCATCCGCTGCGGAGACCCTGCCCCTCCAAGACTCGTTGTCTCTCTCAAGTACATAGCATAGAAATAAAGAAAGCTATCCTTTTGCAACCATCCTCGTCTGCTGTACTCCACTCTCGAGTCCTTGCTTGCATTCGCACTACCTGACTCTAGGCTCTTCCTCTCCTCCAGACGACCGCTCCCGTCCCTTTGAGAGCCTCCACAGACAGTCTGGCACTTTGCAGAGCCACCCGCGTACATCTCGAGTCCATCCGCAGCAAGGTATGCTGCAATTCCTTGAACGGGTCGGCAAGCTGACAGTCCTGCAATAGCCTTTTGCTACCACTCTCGAAATCTCGCCTATCATGGCAACCCAAGAGGAGCTGGCAACACTCTTCCAACAACAGTTCTCTCTCCAACCTCAATCCACATATGTTGCTCCTCCCCCTCAAGTGCAACCCAAGCAAGTCGAGGAACCATACGTCTACTCCATCTCGCGCCATTACCACCACTCCACCCATGTCGTCCCTCATCAGCCCGCAAGACCTGCCTCTGAGCCCCCGCAGACCGACCAGCTCACCACAGAGATCATACTTGGTCGCCATGGAGTGGACGTAATGAATCTCTTCCCCTCTCAGATCGACCTCTTCAAGACCGCAGACGCCTCCCAGCAAATGCGGCTGATCGAGCTCTGGAGAGCAGCCCCACCCAACTACGGTGGACACGCTTTGGCACAAGACTTGGGCAACTGGCCATCCACCTCCTTCCAACAAGAAGAGGCTATGGCGAAGCTGCGGTATGAAAGACAGATGCTCGAGGAGCGTATGGCGCGGGCGGGCGGAGACGCACAAGGCATTATTAGTATGGACGGAGCTGAGGATACCATGAGCGATGCTAGCACCACTGCGCCTCTCACACCCATCACAGGAGGAGATGGCCGGTGGTCGACTGCTGAGCCATACATGCAGTCCGGCTACGAAGCTCTTGCTCAGCGGGAGTATACAACCTCTGCTTCCCAGTCGAATGACACATACTCGCACTTCGGGTCGGCAGTTGGAGGACCAACTTACAAACAAGCAACTGACCCTGTCTATAATAACATGGAAGATGTTCACAAAAATCCAAACATTGGTGGTGGCGTAAGTCATGATCTGTTGAAGTCAATTTCTTTTTGCACTTGGTTCATTTCTTTCCCCAAGCGAGAAACCCGTGCTAATCGCCAATCATCAGTGGGCAGTTCTCCTCGAGCAGCGACAGCAGGCCATGGAGAACCAATACGGAGCATACGATCAACACTACCACCACAACGTTGACGGCGTCACTATAGCAGGATACCAAGGCGAAGACGAAGAGATGTTGTAGATACCAACTTGCGTACATAGGCAGCTAGTCACATTTTCCTTAGACCCAGTTTCGTTAGTTGCATCGAGGCAGGAAGCACGGCATATTATTTTTGGCGCAAGGGATGTCTTTATTGGCGTTCTGGCATGGCATTTGCAGTCTCACGACCTGACGCTTGCTTTTGGGCTTTGGTCGTTGGGCTGTGGCGCCGACGGGAGTCTGACGAATGATGGTGGCGCGTACTAGGCATCGCATCTACTCTCTCTTCTCAGTCTCTTCTCCATAGTGTCTTCTTGATTAAGCTGAGGGGGCAGTGTCATGTACACGTTACAGTTGCTCTACCTAGCACGGAATGTGAGGTACGTACTCTAATCCACCGATCCCCGAATCCTCCCCAACCCCATTCCCCCGTCGTTCGGTCTTCTGGCTCAGGTTAGTGGAGTATATGGCTGGTATATGGGTATGTATCACTACCCTTCCCTTCCCTTTCCAAGCTGTCTTTACTACTTACCTCAAAGCACCACCGGATGGACGACAGACAGCATCTGGATCCTGGAGCTGGAACTGGACACGGGACCCAGTCCCCTTCCCCCCTTTTCCCCTTTCCCCTTCCACCCCCACTCTTCCTTTGCCTTTTCTTTATATTTTTTTTTCTTTTCTTTTTCTTTCTTTCTTCCTTTTCTTTCTTTCCAGCCTCCATAATTGAGTGATACCAATGATGAAAATAGAATTCCAATGAAAAGAGTTACTTTCAGAAACAACTTGAATACCTTTATTTCACATGACCATTACTTGAAATTAAATGAATGGTGTGTTCAACCTGCCCTAATGACCTATGTCTCTTTCCCAGCACATTCCTGAAGCAACAGGCCATTTGATCTCGCCGTGAGCTCACCCGCTTCTTGCTCGCTTCTGGCGGTCGGTCGATCTTTCCGTGTATTTTGGGGCGAGCACAGCTATCCTCTGCGCACTCGAGGGGGAGGGACTGACTGGACTAAAGTGAAGGAAGGCAGGGCAGGTTGGCTAGGAGCATGAGTAGGTCTTTACCAGGCACCTCGGTAGATAAAATTTGTTAGGCTGTTGTGTACGTATATATTATTAGAGATGTTTATAATGTGAATGCAGATTCTATGTTGAGTGAGATGGTGAGGGAATGGAATGGCGTTTGGGGGTTGGGGGGGGAGGTTGATCGTTAGTTACTTTATGATGTGGATAGGGCAAGGTAAAGTCAGGTAAGGTAAGAAATGTTGGTTTTTGGAGATACGAGGGTATTTGGAGAAGGAGGTAGGTAAGGAAATACGTAGGTATGTATGCTCTACATTGATATCTTATGCTTCTGTTATTATGCGATGTATGGATCGTGGTTGTGATCGTGATCAGTCTTGACTGGGTTTGGAACTCGAGTCTTGAGGCTTGACATGGAGGAGATCTGAAAGAGCATCGGGGTCCAAGTGGCTCGCTGCATTCTATATGAGTATACAAGCTTATTCTAACGGCTGTATCTAATAGTGGTAGGAGATCTGCATGTCCACTGATCGCGTCAGATGACGGTTGGTTCTGTTTTCCTGGCGGGATGCATGCTTACAGGGGGCGGCTTAAGTACTGACTGGTGTTCTGATCAAGTCGTTGAGGGAAGGGGGCTTGGGCTTGTGATTAGGCACTGGATATGCTGAAAGCAAACATCAGGGCTTCGCAAACCGTCCCACGCCAGGAGTTATATTGTATAAGTACTCCTTTGACGTACGTTCTTGATTATTGGCACATCTGGACATCTGATCGTTTGAGTTGCAGCCATATTAGTTTGCAGTTGGATTCTTGATAGTGCCAGTGCGTTATTGGGTTGAGAGCCCATCATCTCGGTTTCTTCTCTTACCCTCTGCATGGAGACGATGCCTTTTGAAATAATCTCATGATCTGAAATAGTTCAAGAAGCTTATTTTGAGACTATCCTCGCGCAAGGTTATCGATATCTGATGATCTTGTAAGGGCAATCTATCGGTAAATCTTCGGGATTCTTTTTGTTGACTTCTCGCTTAACTGTCGACGAACTGCGATACCGCTATTCACTTTGTAATTATTCAAGCCCTTTGAGACCTATTCACTTGTTCGAACTTGTAGTTTACCTTAGTAACTAGCCTAAGGTTTAGAGATTTGGTATCGATGACTCCTCAATAACTTTCTATTTGATCTATAAGCTTCTTCTTTCAGCCGTCGTCGATAGTAGTCCTAAGCTCACCACACCTTCTCATGACTCATACACAATACGGTGCTGACTCTGACGATTGATGTGCATACCTTATAAAGCCCCGTGTCCTTATAGAACAGAGACCAGTTCCTGGGCAGGTGGTAGAAGCGAAGGCCTGTAGTGAGAAGGAGTCGGGCGGGATTCCCAACGGGCTTCCCATTCGATCTGGCTCTCCTCCCCGCCCAGAAAAATCTCTGCCTTACCCCCTCCAAGCCAGCCAAATGTCACTATACTTGGAGACCCCCTATGCGCTAATGTTACCAAAGTGTTCCCGAGCCCTCATGAGAACGTCACATATGTCCTGTGTTCCCCGGTGCATAGAACAATCGTCACGACGCTAAAGTCTTTCCCGTCCATTCTCAGAGGCCGGAAGGATCAAAGCCATTTCTGTAAGTCATAATCGGCTCGCTTCTATTGACGTCTTAGGGAAAATCAACTCTGACGCCTTGATTGTACGCGCTCGGGTTGGCGGGGGGGAACCCCCCCCCAGATACTAATACCAGCCCGTATTACAGGAAAATACCTCCGTAATTTATGATTGTCGCCCAGAAGCACCGGATCAATCGACCTCGACGAGCAATACGTGGACGCGCGGCTGGATGTCGGCCCAGCCTGCTGCCCGAGAACTGGGAGATAGCTGCTGAGTACGAGACGCCGATGAGGCTGGCGCGCGTTAGGCGGGTGCAGGAAGAGCTGTGGAAGCTGGAGACTATAGATATAGAAAAGGGAGAGTAGCGGGGAATGAATTTCGACGCCTTCGTGGGTCTGATGAGATGAATATAGAGATCTTGGTGATATTGCATGCAAAGTTCTTGATCGAGTTATTGGCTCACGATCGGAAGAGTAAGGACGACTTTCTCTTCCTGGGTTGGGAGATTATTTAATTGCTGATGCAAATATCACTGCGCACTGCTGGCGCAACGCTGAGTGGAGGGCTTTCAAGTTCCCGTCCGTCGTAAAGATGGATGAGGGTTACTGATCATAAAGAAGATTTTTGATGCGAACCCTTGAACGCCACTTGGAGTTTTTATATATCTTTAGCTTTAACAGTGATTATTTATTGATTCTATATCTTTGTCTATTTCGTAGTATTTTGTTGTAATATAGCTGGTAGTATCATGTAAACGGACTGCCAAGTACAGCCGCTAGTTAAACGGGATATATAGCAACGCGCTAGTCGATCCTGAACAGCTTCTGAATTGATAATGCACTCTCCCAATGTATTTGTTTTTTTTGATAACGCGATTTTCTGTTTAGAGTCGACATCACATCAAAGATCTTTCTTCTGCAGGTATCCTGCCGGATTTAAACAACAGCAAAACAGCTTCGATACATTTCAATATTGTCTGCTGTAAGTATTGCGAGTACTCTAATGGTTACAAGATGTTTGAGATTCGACCTCAAGATTTCTGACCAAATTGAATATTTCGCTAACGCGTTGATAGGTCAAGCTCGGGGGCTCTTCTACAGCCATTCCCGACTTCTGCCTACAACAACTCGACACCTCCTCACTATCAATACATCGCATACCTTCTCTACTCCTCAAAAAACTTCGTCATGTCAGATATCAACACGAAGATCCGGTGGTACGCTAAAATACGTGAACTACTCACCAGACTTGACCTCCTTGAAGGCCAATCAATCGCCGCACGCGATCGCGCGGAAATAATTTCGGAACTCGGAATCGTACTCAAGATCTTTGGATACAGGAAATTTTACGTCCCAGTAAAGAGGTTCGCGAGGATTGACTGGTACCCCCAGATGCATGAGCTACTTTGCCAACTGGAAGCCCTCGAGGACCAGGAGGATGTGGTGTTGGCTCGCCAGCATATCGTCAAAGATATCGGATCGATGCTGAAGGGATTCGTGATTGATGAGCCTGTAAAAGAGCCGAGGGGGTTCATGATGGAGGCGCTTCCTCTCCGCCCACGGGCGGCAGGCAATGGAGCCACGGGAACTGTTCCCAGTGTGGTTGCTACAGCTCCGGAGAACAAGGGAGAGAGCAACAAGGTATCCGAGGTCGCACAAGTTGCGCCGAGCAATCCTTCAGCCCTGGCTCATTCTGCTGCCCCTGCTCTCAAGAAAGGCAAGACCTTCTTCCACTTCATCCGTCACGCTCAAGTAAGCTAGCCCCCCTCCCCCCCCTTCCCACCCACCCTCTCCGACCACAGCTGCGAGACTGACCCGCTCCAGGCAGCCTGCAACTTGCGTGGAGCAGACTATACCAAAGTCGATCCCGAACTCACAGACCTCGGAATGCGCCAGGCCGAACACAGTTTGGCCCCCAACTTCCCACCCATGGCTCAGATCACTCACATCCTCGTGTCGCCAATGCGACGTACAATGAAAACCATGATGCTTGGCCTCGCACCTGCATTACAGCGTGGCATAATTCCGATTGCGTGGCCTGCGCTGAAGGAGTTGGGAGACTTCGGCGCCAACACTGGCATCACAGCTGCTGAGCTGCAGGCTTGGATAGCGGGTACGGTCGATATCAATATGAAGCTTGTTGGTGAAAGCTGGGGAAAGCCTATGGTGGAGGATAATCATGCAGCGCGCAGAGCACGAGCAATTTATGTTGAGCATTGTCTTGGGACGTTCGCGACGGCTGTGAGAGTGGATGGTGCTTGTGGCTGGGCCTGGCAGGACTCGGAGAACGAAATGGGCGTTCGTGTAAAGCGCGTTCCTGAGGAGGAGAATGTTCAGTAAGTATCCGTCCTCGCCGTCATCACCTCCTTTTTCTGCATTATACACAGACTGTTTTTCATGGCCATGCTAATCACAATTCGCTATCATAGTGTCGCAGTAGTCAGCCACGGTGCGCTTTTGAGGAGAGTCGCCCGGTCTTGTACTCAGACAGGTATACCGACCTTCTCTCTTCCATCTTATCTCCTGTGCGCGAATCAGCAGCTAATAATGCCTAGAATGGAAGCCCCTCAACACCGAATTCCGCAGCTTCGAGTACTGCCCGGACAAGAGGACCTTGATAGAGACGGAAGAGAGTAACAAGTTCTTTGCTGGCGAGAGAGCGAGGGTCACATCCCAGGCCTTCATTTCTTTGTAAGCCTGGGCGCAAGGATATTGGTTTTGTACAAGATATGTAGAATTTTAAATGATATCGAAGGGTCACGAAATCAAAACTCAAACAAGCTAAAGATACCCATATAGAAAAGGTCGGTACTCACTGTATTACAACTCGAGTGGAGAAATCAAAATAGGTTTTGAAACACAGCATGGGGTAAGATCTATTCAGAAGCAGAATGTAATCGATAAAAATAAACTTCTCTCTGTATTTTAGTTTGTGATTGTATAAATTTCCCAGCTGAACGGGGAGGGGACGTCGTTCAATGCGGCTGATCTGCCGCCTTTGGAGCGAGGCGCTAGCCGGTCTAATCAATCTTCCGGCCAGCTTCTAAGATGGACGATCGACAATTTGAAAAAAGCTAAAAGCAGCGATAGATTTATATCAAGAACAGCTGAACAAATAAAATCCTCGCAATTAAAAAAAAACTGTTATGGAGAGATCTTGGGCCGCGCCGAGTCGGCAATTTTCTCTAAAGCTCGTCCGTTAACGCTTTTAACGGTAAATCGCTTGACGTTACAAACTGCGTAAGAGAACATGCACGATATAGAGGGATAGGGATGCACGTAGGGCAAGAGTCCGGCCCTGACTGAATTTTTTCAAATGGGTCAGTGGAGCCACGGCGAGGAAATATCCGGCCAGCACGAGTAGTTTGTGAAGAGACCGGTAGAGACAGACCAGTGGAGAGCACGGAATCCCACAAGTCAAAAGTCCATGTCACTATCACATCACATGCAGGAAGAAGGAGACTTTGAAGATTTTGGAGCATAATTGCTTTTATATCCGAATGAAATATATGCCCAATTTGCGTGCCCTGTTATGACCAAAGTGTCACAAAAGAAAAAAAGCTCTCTCTCATAGAGCCTGTGGTAGACAAAAAAAGTGTAGTTCCAAGACGGCCTCCGAACAGAAGGCTACCGTTTTGCGAAAGAGTCCGTCTCGGCAAGAGTCCCGCTGACCCCCTCTCCGAAACCGGCCGGTGTTGAAGAAGTGAAATTTGTTGAAGCGAAAAATGTTGCGTTGTGGACGACCAGGAGGAAATGTTCCTTCAGACGGATGAACCGAGGACCAGACCTGGTAGGGCTTTCTTTACGCTTTGGCCCAACAAGGTACTCGACCATATCCGCTGCACCGTGCATGCTGCACGATTACTTCTTGGGGCAAGGCTGTCCGCGGTAGCCACATCGGGCCTCTGGCTCAGGAAGAGCCTCTGCCTCACGCTTGGCCTTGGGGCATGGCTGTCCGCGGTAGCCACATCTGGCCTCGGCCTCGGGAAGGGCCTCGGGGAGAGCCTCTGCCTCACGCTTGGCCTTGGGGCATGGCTGTCCGCGGTAGCCGCATCGTGCCTCAGCAATCGCCTCGCGCTTGGCCTTAGGGCAAGGTTGTCCGCGGTATCCGCAACGGGCCTCAGCGTTGGCGACTGGAAGGGCGCTGGCGCTGACTGTTGCAGCGAAAATGAGAGCACAGATGGCGCTGGTCAACTTCATGTTGAAGGAGTATGGGTGGTCGTTGAGAAGTGGTTGAGTAGTAAAGAGTTGTACTTGTGTCTGTGTGTGTGTGATGAATCGAATTGTAGTGTTTGCTGTTGTAACGAAAGTATGATAAGGAAGAGAAGATGAACATTCGAGGACTTCGAGGTAGTATTTATGCTTCCCATTGAGAGTTGTTCTCAATAACCACCGTTCGCCGTCAATAGGAACAGTGGCAAGCGAAGCTTCCTATTGGCACCCTATTGAGAACCCAAACAGGCGACTCGAAGCTGAATTCGACAAAGGGGAATCGGGATTTGACCAGAGTACAGAAGATACTTCAAGTATTCTAGTATGTAGAGAGATACTCATTGTACTGAGTTCAAAGAACTTTTGGGGTTCTGATGTGGAATGGGTCGCTTAGTATTGACGCTTCCCATTGAGAGCCAGCCCCTGAACATTCAGCTTCAACACGTGCAAGATACCCAATCTCATGATTTGGAAGGGAAAGCCACAAATTTCCAAGAACATACATATGATATGAGGTACTTCAAAGGACTCTTGAGGTTCAATCCTGAACCAGAGAGTGTGCAACGACACCCATCGAAGGCTTTGGAATGAAATGAAAGTTCTAGCCTCAATTGTCGGAGTCCAGGCCGTCGGAGGCGCATCCGCTCGGGTCTCCCGAAGTCATCCATAAAGGAAATCAGAGGCAGAGACTTCTGTTGTGGTGACTTGATGCCAAAAGTCGCCGCATCCTATTCAGACCCCTTTTCTATTCAAGTCCCGGAGCGGAAAGTTTAGCGAGATTTCCTTTGAGCCGCATATTTTTCAAGGCTTTCGTCTCTCAAGCAAATAAAGCTTGGGATACAACGGATTTGAAACGATTGAACGCCATCATGGATGATGAATGGAGCTATGAGTTTACTTGCTGGGGACCCTTGCGTCTCCGCAACAGCTCAAGGTCTGCCGTTGAGTCTTGACTGATTTGGGTTGGAAGCGCCGCACTTTTGTTTATCTCGGCTCTCAATATGTTCAACAAGTCCCATTCAAATCTCAAGCCCGCCCAAGAGCTGTCCCTAAATGGGTTTGAATGATCGCAGATAAAGGGTGGATGTACAGATGACGTTAGCCTTCTCGCGGCCTGAGCATGGCCGTGGGTGAAGGCCACCTCGAGGAATTTTCATAGATTATTCAACAGTTGACCTCGCATATTTGGGATTCCCTATGCATCTGTCTCTTCGCGATGGAAATCGAGCGTCGTCCCTTGGCTCTGCGCACGTGGATCGCAAACTGCCATAAAGACTCGATGACAGATGCGGACCACAGTATAGCTCCCGAGTCCGAGTTCAAGTCAATAAAGCAACGAAAAGAAGAAACGGCTGTTCAAGACCAAATTCAGAGATGCTCGTCTACCGGTCACTTAAAGCCAAGATAGACAAGCAATGCAAATGGCCTTTGGCATTTTTGAGGGCCTTGAAATATGAACTTGCGAAGAACGACGGATCAATAAAGCGCTTGACGATAATACAACCGAACTCTTCTCTCTCACTCTCTCATATTTGGAAGGGTTTGAGCCCATGGCTGATAATGGATGGTGTTGGCCAGGGCAGAGGATGATGCGGAGATAACAAAAATCATGTGCAGCCGAGCAGATATGCTGTCGCGAGAGTTGCCAGGAGAAAGGAAATGATGGAAGCGATATGGGGAGATGTGAATTGGTTTTGGTCACTATGCAGACGTGTTGTTGTTACTTTTGTTGTTGTTGATGTCGTCGTCTTCGTGGTTCTCGGGTTGAACGGGGAAGAAATCTCATCCCGTGGGATGCCGAAAACTCGTCCCGAAGTGGGCCCTCTCCCAGGGCAACAACCTCACCTCAATTCAAACAACATCGCTACACTCTACACTCTACCCACTCCACCCTTGACCCTCTCTCCTCCAGATTTTTCACAATGTTGTCGCGTAGCTCCGCCAGGTCGGCGCAGGTATGTCGCGCATCTCTGCGAGCTCCAATGCCAATGGCGTATGTAGCTAATCAACCGCCTTATCAGAGCCTTCTGCGAACCGCCCCGTTCCTTTCTGCCCAGGTACGGCCCTCCGAGATGCGAGACGCGACGAGACAACCGCAGAGAGCAGAGAGCAGAGAGCAAGCAGAGAGCGGCAACTGATTATATTCTCGTATAGCCCCTTCGATCCTTCGCAACCGTCCAATCCGATATCTTCAAGCCCACGAAATATGGCGGAAAGTACACGGTCACTCTCATTCCCGGAGACGGAATCGGCGCGGAGGTCGCGGAATCAGTGAAGACCATTTTCAAGGCGGACAATGTGCCCGTCGAGTGGGAGCAGGTCGATGTATCCGGAGTTGAGACTCGAGGCAAGCCGTCAGAGGATCTTTTCCGCGAGTCGATTGCCTCGCTCAAGAGGAACAAGCTCGGATTGAAGGGTATCCTACACACGCCCATCGACCGGTCCGGCCACCAATCCTTCAACGTAGCTATGCGACAAGAGCTTGACATCTACGCCTCGATCGTCCTGATCAAGAACATCCCCGGCTACAAAACCCGCCACGAGAACGTCGACCTGTGCATCATCCGTGAGAACACCGAGGGAGAGTACTCTGGCCTCGAGCACCAATCCGTTTCGGGCGTCGTCGAGTCCCTCAAGATCATCACCCGCGCCAAGTCGGAGCGCATTGCAAAGTTCGCATTCAGCTTTGCCCTTGCCAACAACCGCAAGAAGGTCACCTGTATCCACAAGGCCAACATCATGAAGCTCGCAGACGGTCTGTTCCGCAACACCTTCAATGCCGTCGCCAAGGAGTACCCCACTCTGGAGACCAATGACATGATCGTCGACAATGCCTCGATGCAGTGTGTCTCGCGGCCCCAGCAGTTCGATGTCATGGTCATGCCCAACCTGTACGGAGGAATTCTCTCCAACGTCGGAGCTGCCCTTGTCGGAGGACCAGGTGTCGTTCCTGGATGCAACATGGGCCGTGAAGTTGCCATTTTCGAGCCTGGCTGCCGTCACGTCGGTCTCGATATCAAGGGCAAGGACCAGGCGAACCCAACTGCTATGCTCCTCTCTGGATCCATGCTCCTGAGACATCTGGGCCTGGACGAGCATGCCAACCGCATCTCCAAGGCCGTCTACGACGTAATCGCTGAAGGGTAAGCCAAAATCCGGCTCTATCCGCTCTCTAAAGAAACCACTAACGATCTACAGACACGTACGAACGCGCGATATGGGTGGCGAGTCCAGCACACACCAGTTCACAAGAGCTGTTCTGGACAAGATGGATCTGGCAGGATAGATCAGGAGGCCGGCTGTACAAAGGGGACTGCAGACGCAACGCTGTACTTTAGTATGCATGCATTAGCGGGTGCATTTTTAACCGTTCGGTCGTTTTTCATTTTTTTCAATCACTGCCTTTCCTGCAATTTTTCTGCTCATGCTTCGTGTGACAAGTTTCAAGCTTCAATCTTCAGCAACGCACTCGTAAAGATTTGCTTGCATTTCCGTTCTTATTCTAGTGTCGATGATGTACAAGAAGTTTCAAAGTCTCCCATCCGCAAGACCTACATAACGCTCAGGATTCAAAGTAGAAGAAGCAAATTCTGACCGGGCAGCAGGGCCACCGAGATGCGATGCACAAAATCTAGTTCCACCTCCAGCCCACGACGGAGAATTTCGCTTGGCTAGTAGTGGTGGTGCCGTCCACCTGTCTTCCCTCCCCACGGGCATCCATCTCCACGCCCTCCATCTTGACATCCGCACTCTGAACCTGGCGGCTCTCGGGAGCAACTCCATCATCTCCAGCCAGCTCGCGCTCAACGGCAAAAGGAGGCTCCTCCCTCTTCTCCCTCTTCTCCTTCTCCGCCTCCTTCTCCGCCTCCTCCCGCTCCAGCACCGCCATGATCTCCGTCACGGTCTGGCCCTTGAAACGCTGCATGAATACCTCCTGCTGTCTCACGCTCAGCACCTCCTCGCGCCCCCAATTGTTGGTGCCTTCTCCGCCGTTGTGAAGATGTTCATCCTCATCATCATCCTCATCCTCGCCCTCATCATCATCCTCATCATCATCCTCATCATCATCCTCATCATCATCCTCATCATCATCCTCATCATCATCCTCATCATCATCCTCATTATCATCCTCTTCGTCATCTTCGTCATCTTCTTCATCTTCGTCTTGCTCGTCACCAGAGCACGAGCTCGAGATGAATATCGCGTGGTCTTCATCGCCTAGGTCGGAATCGCTGGAGATGGAGATGGCGCCGCTGGGCTCGGGCTGGTGGGGCTTGGAGTGTTTGTTCAGCTCTTGGCTTTTGTCGTCGCCTTGCAGCTTTTGTTGTGCTTGATTGAGTAGATGGTATCCATGCGGGCCTGGGGCCGCAGCAGGTGCGGAGTCGCACTCTCTGGTGCGGAGGAGCTCGGCGGCGGGTGCGGGTTCGTAGGGTGCAGAGTCAGGGTCGGACTTGAGCCGTGGGCTTGGTGGGCATAGCTGGCCGGCGACGTCGTTGCGGGGTGCGAGGTTGGAAGCGGCGGTATTTGGACGGGGACGGTGACGGGGAGAGGGAGAGGGAGCATCGTACAGGGACTCGTCTTGGTAGGTGTTTGGGTCTGTAGATTCTTTTGGTGCTGCTGAGACGCTGTGAGGTGGTGGCAGGCTGAAGCTCGCCGTCTTGGTCTGGCCGGAAGAAGAGGCTGATAATGCATCGGCCGGGTTTTCGGTGCTGGCGTTGCGTTCGGGGATGTGAGTGCCCTGTCCTCCGAATCCGTTTGCCTCTGTCTGACTCTGACGTGGGTTTCCCGATCCTGCGGCTGGGTTTTGCCCGCTTGGGCCCGCCACAGCCGTGAATGTCGCGGTGTAGTTGCCCTGTCCTTCCACGGCTGTCTTTCTCTGAGCCGGGTTCTCAAATGTATGTTCGTTTACAACACCGAGTCCTGGTATCTCAATAACCTGATCTGAGAAGCTGTCAGGATCTGTCGGGCTCGATTTGTCGAAAGCAGCTCTCAAGTCCCCAATATTCGTGATCCTGTTGCAATTCGGTGTCGGGGTGGTACGACGAGTGGTCGCTGCTGCTTTGAAACGATGTACTTCAGCGGTCGAATTGATGCTTGCAATTGCCTTGTTCCTGTCTTTCTCCGTGGTAATGTTGGTGAGGGTACTGATGGCTGAAAGGGGGTAAATCGCTCTCAGACTTCTGCTGGGCCCATCTGCATTGTTGGGCGTGCTGATTGGCGTGAAGTTTCTGGTGGCTCCATCGCTCCATGCGAGTTCGTTGCCGATGTTCTGGACGTATGGGGCGGTGACGGCTGGTGAAGGATGAAGGCATTCGGGGTCTGGGGGAGCTGGCTGGTGAGACTGAGGCTTGTTGCTGACAAGAACATCTTCCATAGAAGGCGAATCTAAAGCTTGAGTTTCAGGACCTGGGATGGATGTTGTGGTTGCTGCGTCGGTACCTTTGCTGAGAAGCGTATGCTGCGTGGCAGATGCTGACGGAGCAGGAGTAACTTGGGCTGGTAGAGTCTTATCCATGGACAACAGAGCAGCCGAGACTCCGACAAAGGTCTGATCTTCTACCATCTCGCTCTGTCCTCTGGATTCAGAAATATCGTCGTCGACCGATGGCTCGAGCTGCTGCACATTGAGCTGTATCTTCTTGGGCAGATACGAAGCCATGTTCTCCTCCAAGTCCTTTGCTGCCGCTGCCTCTACGTTCTTTGCCATTTCCTCCTTCTCGGCATGCAACATATCCCACGTAATCATGTCACCAACATCCTTCTTGACTCTCGGGATATCACCTTGAAACTTCTTTGCCCACGCGATGGTGGTGCGGAGGCCGTCAAGAACAGTGATAGCCAGTCCAGCGCCGGCGTTTTGTCTTAACCAACCTCGGCATTCGAAATCCACATCCTCGATGTGTTTCTGGTACTGCCTTTTCAAGTCGGCTTGGTATTTGATCAGCGATTTCTCATAGATGTCCTGGTATTCTTGAAATATTTCTGGGCTTTTGCTCAAGAGTTTCGTGACTGCTTTTGGGCCAAGATGGAGGTTACAGGTTGGTTTCGACCCACTGGTGGTCTCGCCATTATAGGCGGCGACAGTAGTCAGGCTCTTATCGACCATACTCCAAAGTCTCCCCCTGCATTTCACGACGAGCTCGGCAAGGTCTTGCTGGTGTTTTCTCAGCTGTTCTTGCAGAGCTTCATTTCCCTTGGCCTCAAGTTCTCTCTTGAAATTTTCTAGTTCATCGCTCTTGTACTTCTCGATTTTGGCTTGGAGTGCTACGCTGGCTTTGTCTTCCATTTCTCTCTTGAACTTCTCCAGCTCCTTGCTATTGCTTCTTTGATCGTCTCGACGCGGCGGGACTGCATCTGCGGTGCTGCATACTCGTGTTCGGCCTGCTTGATCTTGCTCTGCCAGCAAACCTGTGGACGCATAACGGTCTCTCAATTCCTGGGCGCTCAGCTGACTTGGAAGAAAGTTGGTGTCCTGAAGACAGAAGCTCAGGACCGTGTAGGGTGAAGTGCTACCGTCTTTCTGGTGTTTGATCCGTCTTTCTACCTCGATGCCTCCGACAGGCACATGATAGAGCTTCCCCACCAGGGCCGCTGCCTCTGGATTCGTGACGAGCAGCTGCTTGACATTTTGTGTATTGATGTAATTCATGAGAGGTTCCATGGTGAAAGTTTGGTGTTGTGGAAGGCAGCCGCGTCGGCGGTTTGGTTTGCGATGGCAAGCGGAGCGCAAGTAGAGCAGTTGTTGTTCGTGAGGTGCCTGGTGGACCGGGTGGCTGAGGTATTCACGCGACGGAACCGCGTACCTGGAGAAGATAATCCGAGCAGATCAAATTTGGTAGGCGCGCAACGTGACTTCTTTCGGATTTTTCTTCGGCACCTGGCTGGCGATATCTGCCATTTCAACTCGTGCACTTTCGAATTTATTGCTCGTTCTTATTTCTTCCGACTTCGAAAAGCACGCACAGCTAGCGGCACTTGCTTGCCTCTGGGATAGTTTATCAGTCTTCTGGTTGGGTTTCTTCCGTTTTACATGTTTGGTGATTGACTGATCCGCGATGGCATAAATAATATAATTACCCATCTTCCGAATCCCACCATCCACACCTATTTGGATCAAAGTCAATCACCACCCCCGTTGTGGCGTTTAATATATAGCTTATAAAAGATATGTGTACATCAACAACGTATTATTGGAAACCTCTGCTGGCTTGTTCTTTCACTCGGTTTTTCTAGCTAGTGGTATTTTATATGCCAGGATAGATCTGGTCAGCCTTGAGAACGAATATCCGTGATATGAACAATCATTAACCTAGTCTTCGGCGGTGCAAGCGCGTGCTTCGATTCATCTTTCGTCGCTTAGTATGTTTCCTTTCTTAGCCCGAATCTTTCACTTTTCAAGCTCGCTTTCTCTCGACAACAAACCAAATCAACAAAACAGATCGATCTTCACCCCCCACTGTCTCTGAATCTTCGATCTATACCTTAAAATGCCAGAAACTGACAGCACCTCCGACCTCAAGCCTGATCCTTTTGGTCGCATCAAGGAGGACGAGATGACCATGTCTAAAAATAACAAAGGCAACAAAAACCAGAAGTCTCGGCGGGCCAATCTACGTAAGAACAGTTAGGCAGCAGCTCTTTCTTTCCTTTCTCAGGTTTCATGAGTATCCTGCTCCTGAGACTGCCCCCGTCCCGATGACCATGGAGACGAACGATTGCTAACCTTCAGATCGTACATACAGTACTCCTCCGTTGCCTACAGTATATCTCCTACATCAGCAAACCACTAATATTTGCTGGCTTGATGGACGCTTCAACAGCAGAAGTGAAAGGATCCCCCAATGAGTCCGCAGCAGTCTTCCCAGAGAGAAAGGTCACAATTCACTTGGTCCGCCACGCACAGGTAAGCATAATTCGCGTCGTCACAAATTTAAAATTCTCACCGACTCACCAGGGCCCTCATAACCTTACTCATCTCCCAATCAAGATGCGCGTGAATTTCGTCGATCCCGGCCTCACAGATCTCGGCCTGGCCCAATCTACGCTGCTGCGATCCCGTTTCGAACCGATGAATCGCATCACCCACATCCTCTCCTCGCCTATGCACCGGACCCTCCTAACCGCCCTCGTGGCTTTCGAGCCCATCATCGCGAAGGGCTTGCAGATCGTCGCTTTGCCGGAGCTGCGCGAGTATGGCATCGCGCCCTGCAGCACGGGCTCGGACATGTCCCTGCTTCTCGCGAGCTTGTACAGCAAGGCAAAGGTGTCGCGCGACGACTGTATCGACGCGAGCATGGTCCCGGCCGGGTGGGAACAACAGCACGAGGGCGCGGACCGGGCGGAGTGGCTCCAGACCCGGAAGAGGCGGGCGCAGCTTGTGCTGGAGAAGCTGCACGCCCTCGCGGTGGCGGCTACGAAGGCGGAGCGCGGCGTCTGGGAGGGACGCGAGGTTCATCAGGGGAGGGACGTGGAGATCCTGGTCGTTACCCATAGTGGGCTCATTATTGACCTCGAGCGTAAGTTCCCATCCCACCCCCTTCTGCGTCAATCGTTTTTTTCTTTATGTTTACTTGAGCTGATCCCTACGCAGAGAATGATGATGCACCGAGCTACCAGAACGCGGAGTATCGATCGTATCGGTACCCTACGAGGGATGAAGTCGAGAATTGCGGGATGCCATACTACAAGCTCATCGAAACCAGAGAGAGCAAGAAACGGGTCCATAAGTTCGCCGCTGATAAGTTAGAGTGATTGAGGGCAAGTTCATAATTATTGGACGGGCAGGGCAAGGCAATATTGCAATATAGGTTGGGGGTGGTAGTATATGACTGAACGAGGTGCGATTGGCTGGCCGGTGTTGTTTGTCCTGAGATCTTCAGCTTTTCGTTGGACGATAGCAGTTCGGAATGCTATCCCACACCATAGGGAGTCAATTGAAAGTTTCCAATTCCAGGAGAACTGGGATATTACTTGACCGATTTTTTTTTCTAAAAAAAAGGAAGAAAAACCTTTCCCACCCACCTCGCTCAAGCGGCTTCTCCGTAAGCTCCTCCTGCTGAGAGTTGCAACCCAACTGACCAAGTCTTCTACCGATAGTAAATGACAAGTTGGGTTCTGATGACGGACTTATCTATATTTATATTAAAATTCAGATCCATGTACGGATGTACGATTTCTGGCCACAGGGCATGCATGCATATCCTCCGTCGTCGTTCCTACGGGCCGGGCCGGGTCGGCTCGGCTCGGCTCGCTCCATTTGCCTTGGCGCGCGCATGCAATGCACGCTTGACAGACATCAAGCAACTCCGTAAAATAAGCATCCGCCTTCTTGTTACTGAGCCGCAACTCTAATTCGACTCGGTACTTAGCTCCGTACACTTTTTAGCAAACACGTCGCCCTACCTAATTCATTGCGAGTGCGCACATCATGTGTCGAGACGGAGAATAATTCTTTCTTTCTTTCTTTTTTTTTTTTCCAAAAAAAATATGGACTTGGTAGCCCGAAGAACTTGTGTTGCCTCTCTCTGTCGTCGACGTATATATCCGCAAAGAATTTCTGGAAACGTCGAAGGATCGGAGTGGGTTTGAATGAATGAATCAGTTGGTCAAAAGAATGATGAAGGGATGTTAACTACTCAAGTGTCTCTCTCTCTCTAGTTCTGCGTGATTGAAATGTGTTTATTTTTATTTTGTAGTCTGGGACTTTCCGAGTCGATGAGATGCGGCCTGGAGGCGAATAAATGCTGGCCCCCAGGTTCTTCGCACACATCGAAACTTTCAGACCTTTTCTCTCTGCTCTGCTTTAGAATCAGATTGTATTAAGACAGCATGCATCTCCCGCCCATAGCTAGAACCAATCCTACGACCGAGACTTCCTTCCCTCCTTCCTCACTCCTTCCTCACATACTCCCTCCTCAAAACACTGTACTCTCAAAACCAAAAACTTCCTCCCCAACTTCATAACCATAAACATACAAGTAAAAAAGTGAATCACATATTATTTTACATCCAAGATGCGCTTTCATCAAATCCGATTCCCGCCATATTTAATTTAAGCCCTTAGTCTCCCACCCCGCCTCCCCTCCCCTCCGAAAGATTTCTACCAGTTTTATGTAGCGCGGTGATGCGAGGCTCGACATCACCATCAGAGCACAGCTCTGGTGGTGTAGCGGGTACCCACTCCACGCTTGATTTGCTTATCTTGATTAAAATCCTTTCCGCTCTGGTTAAAGGGTTTTCAAGGCGCATATCTCCCCCGGGACGCCGGGAGAGGTGTGTGACCGGAGTTTTGCTATTTTTCTCCAAAATATATAAATATATATATATTTCATACGTGAGAGATTCTGGGACTTCTTTTTGGATAGGTGGGGTTGCTGCTTTCTTTGATCCAATTTCCCCCCCCCCCCCCCCCCCTTTTCGTGTACGTGCAGAAAGTTCTAAGGGGTTTTCATTTTCAAATATATTTTTTTACATCGATGTGATCATCACTTCACAAGATTTCATCTCGTTCATTTAAACGTAGAGTCTCAAAAATAACATTACTGAAGTCCATTGTCCACAAGATTTTGCTCTAGCTATCCAGCCGCCATCCACCATCCACCTTCAGTTCCCCAAAGCCAACGCACAACCCCGTGACGCACACCCACACCCTAGCTATTCAGGCAGGAGCTTCTCCAATAAAACCAGATCCCCCTCCTTCGTAGCCACCAGAGTCTTCATCTGCGTGTTGAGCATTTGCCTACTCTCTCCCATCAACTCCGCCAGGAACCCACCGTGCGAAATCACCACGATATGGCAGTCCTTACCCTCTTCCACCGCGGGAATCTTCACACCCTTCCCAGGTACCTTCACACCCTTCTTCCACTCTCCTCCCCCATACAGAGCTCCTCCCCCAGACAGAGCCATCTGGCCCAAGTTCCACAACATCTCCTTGACTCTCGCCACCCGCGTCGCCATATAGGCTGGATCCACCAGAGCGTTCTCCCAATTCACCCGCCAGTTCTCCGGGACCAGCGCCGCCTCCAACGTCTCCTCGAGCGCAGGAAACTCCTGCAGGAGCGTGGAGATCTTGGAGCCCGTGTTGCAGGGAAAGACGCCCCACTCGCGAAGATCTTCCATGGCGATGATCTTCAGGCCCTTCTCGCGGATCGTTTTTTCGAAGCAGATCAACGTCGTCTCGAGGGCTCGCGACATGGGCGAGGAGAGGAACATGGTGGCGTTATCGTGGTGGGGGAAGGCCTCCCGGAGGAACTCTGCTTGCCGGATCCCCTTTTCGGTGAGCCTGGGATCGAGGAAGGCTTCGCGGTCCTTGCGCGGTACGGCGTTGTGTAAGGCCTGCGTGGTTTTGGGTTAGCTGATGTCGATCTTGCAATGTGCTTGGTGGACTTGGGTTCTTTACCTGTGCGTGACGGATTACGTGAACGTAAATCATTCCGTCGGGCGAAGTACTCGAGGTACCTGGTGGTGGTGCTGGCTCGGTCACGTGGAAGGGTCGGAGGGTTTCTTCGAGAGAAGGTAAAGGCAAAGTGCGTTGGTTTGCTGTGGTATTCTCCTTGGTTGGCTTCAAGTCTTTCAAAGAGATATCAAGCTGCTCTTGTGTTTCTTTCTTTGGTAGGGGCTTTGAACCTACTATATATACTTTGCAGTTGTCGAAACATATCTGTTGATTCACAGACCGATCTGAATGTTGCTTGCAGAAGTTCTTGCAGCAGCCAAGTCACAGCGATACTCGGTTTCACGATATATAGAGACTCATGAGCTAGCCAGCTATTGTCATTCTATCTCTGAATATATAGTATTGTCCAGCGATAGCCGATGATTGAATTGTTTGTAAGTGTTCGTTTGGGTTGCTTTCTTCGGACTGATAAGCGAGCGCTTTGCTATTGTCGGTCAAGTGCACTTTTATTGCGATTCTAATACAGCAGGGTAGTCAATAATAGTAAGTTAAAGTTTACCAAATATTAGACAATATATACAAGAGCTTGTGAAAATAAAGACAGAGTCATTGCTGCTAAGCTGAGAATATATATGAAAGGGGGCTCACTTCTGGTTAAGAGAGAGCTTCGCATCAAATTAATGATAGCAGTATGTCTCGGTAGCAAGATGTGATTGAAGAGCCTGAGCGGAAAACAAATAATCCCCGGGCAGAAAAAAAATCAAAGCATATATACATGAAGGGCCATGATATGAGATCATGCCTGTTCGGAACTATAGCAAACAGTCTGGTTCCGATCTGCTGTTGGCCTTTATGTAAGTACTGTATAGAAGCAGCGATATAGAAGCTATGATATTAAGAAAAGCCTCATTCAACAAAACACAAATTAAAGGGAAATTCCGAGCGACAAGGTCGGATTGATTCCGCTTGACCGCAACAAAGATGCCCATGTGCCCAAGCTTCTCGGTCACACCAAGGCACTACCAGTCAGTCCACTACCCTTCAACCCAATAGACCAATACCCATCCCCATTTCCCAAGCACCAAATCGTAATCTCAAGCCAAGATTTCAAAGGTATTCAGCGCTCCTCTGATCCCTGAGTCAAAGATATGGATTTCCACTCAACGAGTAGGCGACAAAGCAGCAGCAGCACAAGCAGCCTATGTAGCAGGTCCCCAAGGCAGAGTAACAAGCTAACACTATAGTCGGGGCTGAATCACCAGCCGTGGCACCCCACGCGTCACCAGCAGTTGCGTAGCAGGCAGTGACGACGGCTGCACAGCCAGACTGAAACGGTCGTCAGCATAGTCTTCACGGGGAAGAGAAAACGCGACATCTCGCTTCCCGATCAGACCTAGAAAAGTCTAGCATCGAGACTAATTCATTTTTGAAGTCAAGTCTATTTGTTTTTGTTTTTTATTTTAATTATTTCTTAAAAAAAACCGGGCTTATAGAACCAATGGTGTGACATCAACATTCGCCCTCACCAGGCACGTAACGCATGTTTGGCTCGGTTTGTCATAAACATTTTACTTACCGCCGAATAGGTAATCCAGGGCCCCAGCATATGAAAGAAATCCTTGCTAGGAAAGCAGAGACGCCAAAATTCGACTTTGACAAGAATCCTTAATATATAAGGACTCCTTAGTAAAAAGATTTTAGAAGACGCCGAAATCCGGACTTCGGAATAGAGTATTCGAGTACGTTTGTAACCTAGGACATGAAGGGTTGCTGGATGAGTTTTGGTCCCCTTTTTTTTTCGGATTTCAGTAAGCGCTTTTGAGGGTAGGTGGACGGATCTGGCAGATATCGTAGCCGATAGGATGCCAGACGCATCATGATTCGTGTTGGTATATCACAGGGGGTTTGATAGGCTAGTCTATGCGATTGTTGTATTGTATTGTTGATGGTTGATTCTATTCCTACAGTTGTGGGCTGTCCCCTAAGGGGCAAGAACCACGGGTGCACGTGCCACCCTCACGTGCCCAGCCCACAACGGTCGCAGTGATCCGACGATTCGCAAAGATGATTTGAATGATTGTTTAGTTTCTATAATCATACTTCTTGGTGTATGATTTATATGAAGTGTTCGTAGGGGCAGAGGTATATGAGAAGAGAGCTGAAGTATGTCTACCGTTGTTAGCGATCAGATTTATCAATAGAGAGGCATGAGAGAAGTGAATTGAGGGAGCCATATTATATATTTACTGCTCTTCTTTCTCGATTGCTTGATTCTGGAAAACACTGATATGTAGGTACGTTACAGTGTTACAGTGCCTAAGTGAAGATTGCAGCCTTATCCCGCTGGCACCATACAAAAACGTCTTTGTGGTCTGGAATCAAACGTGGAAAGAAGTGTGTACAAAAGCTTGCATGTCAGAACGTCATATTGGCTATAGACGATTCTTGATGGGTTACACGGCGTTACGTTGACTCGGACCGGGACTCAAGAAATTCACACCAACGGTGGTCGGTGAAGTACTTATTACTTACGTGTGAGTCCAAATCATCTGGTTCTTGATAGGAAAGTTTGAACTAGCATATAGGATATTGGATCATAGCGTCTTTGATTCTCGGACAGGTCGGAACAAAGAAGTTTTGCTTACATTTATACTTACCTGTTTGTTCCCTTACTGTAAGATATCATTAAAGTTACCTAATACTTATCCAAGCTTACCTAGCAAAACTAAATAAAACACAAACCTCGGACCAAACAGAGACTTGCAAACCACCCAGCTTCCCCATCCCAGAAACTAGGAAGAAGCGTAAACAAGAGTACGCTTTACCTGGCAGAGTCCAAAAGAAGCTTTTAAAAACACTATAGATGCAGGAGTAAAGAGGCCAAAGCCGGCCCAGTATACCGCGGCGAAGGCATCGCAGTAGCTTCGGCAGACAGACGGTATAGGCAACAGAGCTTGCTGAGGACGAGAGCTGGTACCGTGGTGAGGGCGAGGGTGCTTGGGAAACGCATTTCTTGATGCATTTATTTTATTTTCTCGTTTGCTTTTCCGATATCGCCCTTCGGTGTTGGTGTTTGTGGTGCTGATCGAGTGCATTTCAGTGGGGGGAGTGAGGTGGAAGGAAGGCTGACGCGGGAGTTTTTTCACCCAGCGATACTTGGACATGGGTGGGGGGCGTAGAAGCTAAAGAAGATTTTCTAGGTCTGCTGTACATTGAACTCCTTCTTTGTTTCCTACGAACCAGTGGTAGCGATTGAGTTACAGTGCACCTCGAAACTTCCAGCATTGTCCTTCGAGCACTTAGATAAAGCGTTCCTGGTACCAAATGAGTTTGATCACAAGATGGGGTCCAGCTGTCTCTGAGTCTTTTGAGTTTCAAAAGGCTTTGGTTGAATTTCTGAGCCAGAACTCGAAAGGTTCGACTGACGAGGTGTAGGGGATCAGGAATCCAAAGTCAAGAAGACTCTAGGGATCTGAGACTGCTAGATCAAACTGTCTTAGTCCACAAACATCAGCATGAGAAGTGCTCGATGAGAGCGAGAGTTTCTGGGATTTTCAAAGCTGGAGTTTAATCGCAAACACAGGAACAAAATTCCATACGGCACAGTAGAGAGTAGAGAGTAGAGAGTAGAGAGAGAGGGACATACTACTGAATACAGCCACCATGAGGACAGAGATAAATGCCAAAGAGAGAAGAAACCCCTTAAATATGAGCGGCCCAGCCAAAGAAGGTCACTCCTCATGAGACGCAAATCCGGCTCGCTAAGGAAAGAGTTGTATTTTCGGCTATGGAAAAACCAAAAACAACGTAAACACCACGATTCCTTATCTATCGCGCTATCAAAACCCCCAGATACCCTCCTCCAGTTGTCTGCCTACCGCACTACATCTGTGCTGTTCCGAGCTTCTTACTCCGACTCACAACGTAGGCGTCAAAGCCACAACAGCACACCCGGCATAGCACGTCCCTTGGGCGGCATTGCACGCCAGGATGGCCGGTGAAGCGGCGACAGTGAGCACGGCGCCGAAGACAAAGCCGGCAGCGGAGTAGCAGGCCACTACTGGAGCCATGCAGGCTGCTTGGCAGAGGGCGTAGGCAAGGGGGCCGGCGAGGCAGGGGGAGGCTGCTGCTAGAGCTGCGAGGATCAGGGAAGGACGCATAGTGGCCGTTGAGGAAGAGGAGGAAGTTGTTGTGGAGAGTGGTGTGTGATCGTGCAAGGTAGTGCTGTAGGCTGGTTTGATGGTAGTTGGGTGCTGTATGTAGTGAGCGGGGAGATTTTCTCATGGATCTTTAGGATAGAATACCTGGGATACTGGTGATGTTGTTGCTGTTTGCAGAAGATGTGTGTAGTGATGATTGATTTCGAGTTGGAGGACGTCTGAAGCTTCCTTTTGTAGTATATGTTTTCGTGTCTCGGTTTAGATGTGAGAACTTAACTCGAAGATACCACTACTCACGCCGTGCGTCCACAAGATACCACAAGGTGGTACAGAAAGGTCTCGAAGACCTCCATTTTTATATCGTCAATCATAATAGCCCTTGACCAAAACGCCACGCCATGCAAACCAAATGAATCATACGCCACTCTAAAACGCGATGTTCCTCTTCCGACCCGTATACTTCGAGTTGGCCTTGACCACCTTGCCCTTCCGCTCCATCTGTTCCTTCTTGCTCAAAATCCACTGCTTACTCCCCTTCACTACCTTTCTCCCCTTCTCTCTATGCTTCCTCCTCGCATCCAACACGTCTACGCCTTCCATCCCCTTCACTACCCCCGTGATGTCCCCATTACCACCGTCTTCATTGCCCCCTCCAACCGTCAACACCAGATACAGCTTCGCATTCTTAGTTCCCGGATCATCCTCGAGAATACCAGCGCCGAAACCGGCTTTGATGGCAGCTCCGCTGATCATGGTGCGCTGCTGTTCGTTCTTAGGATAGAACTGACACACTGCCCTCCCCCCTCGCTTCAAACACGCATACAGCCCATTGAAAAACCGCGATAGTCTCCCCTCGCTCGAAACCTCACTGCTCTCCGCGTTACAAAGCCACTGGATAGCGCTGATGCTCACCGCGGCGTCGAATGTCCCCGCGCGAAATGGCACGCCCTGCCCAATATCCGCCAGCATGAGATCGCCCTCCAGATCCCGCTGCAGTGCAACGTCCAGCATGGACGCCGAGATATCCATACCGACCCAGATGTGCGGACCGCCTTCGGAGGGATCGACGGAGGACAGGATCTCGCCCGAGAGGCCGGAGCCGCAGCCCACGTCGAGGATCATGGCGGGTGCATCGAGGGCGAGGAGTTCGAGGGCGCGGTTCGTCATTGAGGCTTGGATATTTTGGATGCGGGACGAGGAGGTGTATTTGCGGGCCTCGGTATCGTTGTAGTGAAGGTCGGGAGGACTGTTTTTGCGAATTAGCAATTGTCGCATTCATATTTTCGAGAAGTAGATAAAAATGTACCTACAGGGTATCCTCAGGACGAGACATGATTGCGGTGGTATATCTGTCTGGGCAGGTGGATTCCTACTATCACACACAACGATTTGCCTGTTTCTAGGAATCCTTACTTGCTGTGTGGATTTGCGATCGTGTTTTCGAGACTCCGGTCGAGACATGTCGTCCGAGAGTGATTTTCTGGATATCAAATTTTGGTGGGGTTGTTTCCTTGGCATTACCGCGAAATCTGGGGACGCTTAACCGACGTGGATGCGATTAGACCACGCGTTCAGAACCCTTTCAGCCCACATCACTGCCTCCTCTTTCGACTTCAACGCTCTTCAACTCGTGAGATGAAAGTCTTGTCACTAGGGAGAACAACATGTGGATCTTACCACTCGTCGGGTATATCGGCTTTGGTATTGGATTTGGTTTCTTGACCCTCGCGATCGGTATGTTGAATGGGAAGACGCGCCGAAAGCTCGAGCACTGCTGACAATTCGGAATAGCATCTGGACTGTACTACCTCTCTGAGCTCGTTGAGGAGCACACCGTTGTAGCGAAGAAGCTGCTCACGCGGCTGATCTATGGAGTGATTGGTCTGCAAGCGCTGCTCTGTCTGGTCGATGGCTTCCCGTTCATGCTCTCTATGCTAAGCATAAGCTCGCACATCGTATACTTGGGCAACATGCGGCGCTTCCCGTTCGTCAAGCTCTCGGACCCTCTATTCATTTCTTCGTGCAGTGTGTACCCAGAGTTCTGCAAAGCTGTTTTGGAAGGCTTATGGGCTAATGTTGGGACAGTGCTGGTGCTCCTTAACCACTACTTGTGGTTCACGCATTTCTCATTTGCGTCTCTCGTCGCAACCCCGGCGTCCCGATACGATCCTTCAAATCTTCCTACGTTTACGGAGATAGCGTCGTACTTTGGACTTTGTGTGTGGCTTGTGCCATTCTCCCTATTCGTCTCTCTTTCAGCAAGCGACAATGTGCTGCCGACAATGGGTAGCGAGGCGCCAGGCATACCAGGTGCATCAAGGGATGGAAAGAACAAACGACAAGGGATGTTCAAGGTCGTAATCGATGTGATCCGGGATTGGATGGGGGAGGTCGGACGGCTGGCAGGATATAACAGGCCAGACAGGGGGTTCTGATGATTGTATGGTCTAAGGAAATTCTTGGCGTTGGAATGGCATCTGGCATACAAACGAGACCACGAAGCGATATGGAGCAAAACTTTTGAGAATGAAGCTGTTAAGATGTCTATTATGTGCTAATGAATCTGCAAATATCTCCAGGGGTATCTACCAGCAATATTCCTCCCGACGCCTTCCAAGTAAGTTGTCTCTGAGTATGTGTATAGCACAGTAATGTGTAGCAATGTTTCATCAAACCTTAAATTCCCTGTAATCATCTGGCAAAAGTTAGCAAAAAGTACTAAGAACCCCGGGTTGACGATGCCGCAGATATACCAAATCATTCGTTTTGGACCAGTCAGTCTAGCCCGCCATCTCCATATCATTGATACGGCCTCTGAAAATTGGTTCGAGTTCCCCGGAGAACTTGATAGAGGCCTGCTCGATGGTCTTCATGCTCTTCAGGATTTGCTCCTCGATATTTTGGCGTTTCATGTTCAGAGCATCGAGTCTTTTCCAGAGATCTTGCCGAGACTTGGTTCTGGGGGAAAATAAGCAGGGTCAGCAATTGCAAGCATACATGGGCTTCCATCTCGAAGGGGAGGTAGGAAGCTGGGTATTGCTTGCTGCAAGCACCTACCGCGCCAAGCAGGCCGGAGGAACGCCTCTTGGGGTACCCGGGACTGGGGCAATCTGTACTTACACTCGATTCTTCCTGTTGTTGAACAAGGTATCTATCTTCGTCTTGAGGTCCTTGACCCGCCTCTCGTGCTCTGCCACAATAGCCTTGCGCTTCTTGTCTCGCCGGGCATTGGTCTAAGGTTCCCTTAGCAGGACATCCACATAATTCAAGGCCACGGATGTACGTACGAATTCTACAAGCTTGCTTGCCTGCTTCATGACTTCCATGGCATCACCCTGCGTGGTCTGTTGCGAGCTATCCTCCTCTTCCTCCTCCTCCTCCACCACGGACTCGGATTCCTGGCGCCGGGCTTTGCGAGATTCGCGAGGCGCCATTATGGATTCCTTGACGCGACTTTTGGATGGTGAAGTTGGATAGACTTATATGAAGGTGCCGTGAATTGAATAATATCCTTGATTTTTCTCTCGGTGAATTGCCCTAAGTTGTATCTTGTTATTCGTAGTAGAGGATGAAGTTTGGCCATGGGAAATCGTGATGTCCGCTCTCTGACCAATCACACACTAGTGCCCTTTCCGGAGGCCGCTCAACCAAAATTTCTCAAATCCATCATTCTGCCCACAGCCAAGAACCACACTCTCCCACCCAAAACTCCGCAACGATGGGTCTCGCAGGAGTGAAAAAGTATGGCTTCGATCACCTCATTTGCTTTTATAAAATGCTAACGAGAAATCCACAGGCGCATGAAGCTGTCCCACGACCCCAACAACACCAAATGGACCAACGACAGCACCAGCTTCGGGCTGAAGATGATGACGGCCCAAGGCTGGACGCCAGGCCAGTATCTCGGTGCCAAAGATGCCGCGCACGCTGAGTTCCACACCGCGGCCAACGCCTCGCACATCCGTGTGGCGATAAAAGACGACAATCTCGGCCTGGGCGCGAAGATTGGGACAGGCGTTGGGCACGGAGAGTGTACGGGCTTGGACGCTTTCAAGAATCTGCTGGGCCGCTTGAATGGGAAGGAGGAGGCGGAAATTGAGAAGGAGCAGAGGAGCAGGGATGAATTGCGGAGGGCGATTTATTCGGAGAGGAAGTGGGGGACGCAGCGGTTTGTCAGTGGGGGGTTCTTGATTGGGGATAAAATCCAGATTTTGATTGATGCGGAGGCGGAGCGGATACGCAAACTGGCGTCAGGAGGGAGTGAGAGGTCTTCGGATGGTTCTGATTCGAGCGAGGAGCCCGAGGGTGAGGTCGAAGTTGTGCCCGTGGAGAAGACTAAGAAGTCGAAGAAGAGAAAGGCGGAGGCGCTCGATGAGTCTAAGCCTGAGGTTGTCGCGATTAAGGTCAAGAAATCGAAGAAGAAGCGCCGAGTTGAGGAAGCTGCTGAACAAGAGAGTGCGCCATTTGGGGAGGATAAAGCGTCCAAGAAACACAAAAAGTCTAACAAAGACCGCAAATCGAAGCCCAAAACAGAGGATACCGAAGAAGAGTCTGAGTCCGAGTTTAAGAGGCGGAAGAAGGAAAAAAAAGAAAAGAAAGAGAGAAAGCGGAAAGAGAAAGTCGGATCCGACGATGTAGAAGTAGAGATAGAAGAAACCGAGAAGGAGAAGCGGAAGAGGGAAAAGAAGGACAGGAAGGAGAAGAAGAAGAAAGCCGCTGGAGAAGATACCCCCGAGGACCCCGAGTCGTTAGTGCCAGCGACGAAAGAAGCTATACCTGCTGTAGCGACCTCGAGAGCGGCGACGATGATGCAAGGACGACATGCTGTACGATCGAGATATATTGCGCAGAAGCGCTTGGCTAGCATGGACGCGGTGTCTCTGGCTCAGGTACGTTATCTCTTTCTTCAAGCTCCCAGATGTATACTATACTGACCAGACGCAGATCTTCATGATCAAGTCTCGGTAGAATTAGATATAGATCACGAAGTACATATATCTTGTTCCTCTCCCTCCCCGTTGTTCTATTGTTAATTCCACACGGGAATGTCTACGTGCAAAATGGTTGGATGCAGATATATCTGCGGGGGCGCTCGGCCAGAATCATTCTTTGCATCGGCTGTCTGGCCAGACTCGAGCATCACACGTCTGGAGCGGCGATACAGTTAACTGCTAGTAAGAAAGCAGTGCTGCTTTCCATACCTAGGTATAGGTACAGATCTGCTTCCTGTACCGTATCACATTCTACCTCGGGGGTTTGACCCTACCTGCCTGCCTCCCAACCTATCTATCTCCCTACAGCTAGCATGCATACATGCCCGTCCCAGGGTTCAATTCTGGACCATTAGGAGGGACAAGCGCATCGACCCTCCAATACATGCACACATATGCACCGCGTAAGTAATACTCACCTCGGTTCTTGCCTTTCTCACTCTCTTACCTCCCTCACTCCCTCCTTTCCCTCCCTTTCTCCTCTTTTCTATCCTACCCTACCCTACCCCACCCTAAAACACCGCAGGCCCCTCTCTCTCTAAGCAATCACGCAAACAAGCAAGCGTCTCATTCGGGTCTTCTAGATAAAAAGCTATCCAAAAGTGTCTATGTATATACAAGATAGCCGGCTCTCTAGAGATAGAGATAGAGATGGAAGAAAGGTTCTATCTATCTATAAATCTGATCTTGTTTTGATTCTCTCACTGTTTATTTTGTTTTGTTTTCTTTTCTTTCTAAAAAGTTGATTTTTGAAGAGGATGAGTCTGATATAAGATACGATGTATTATGGACGGGGTGTGTGAAGGAGGTTTGGCTTAATGATACTGGTGTTGGTAAGAAGGCATTGAGTAAGTAGCTTGGACGCTCAGAAGGTGGTGTGTTTATGAGACGAGATAAATGACTTTTCATTTGTATTTATCGGTCTATCCTGTGACGACGGAGAAAGACAGACGATGGAAGGACCACCTGATCTCTCCCTGTCCACGACCTCAGATCTAAAAACGTACAAGCTGATCACGCCCAGCAGAATGTGGTTGCAAGGTATCCGAACGCGAATTATTTGCCATGAACATGATAGCAAAATGATCACCTGAAAGAGCACTCAACTAATTTGATGAGCCCGGTACCCAGCAACTCGCAATTTCAAGTCTTGTTGCTCTAGATGAAAAGTAAAGCCACCCACTCCAATCTCCAGCTCAGGCGACCTTGCTGCTTGTGCTTCTGCATTCTGGTTAACGAAGCTCCAAAGTCTGAATTTGAGTGAGATGTACCTTCGCTAGCGTCTCAATTATCAGCCACGTGGTAGAGAGACAGATCTTTTGACGGCGTTCGAGTGCTTGAGATAAAAGTTGGGATGACGGCACTGAATTTCGAGACTACATCAAAGAGCATTTCCTTCGGGTATCTGTCGCTCTTGCTTTCGTATCTTCGTGGCTTGCCATAGCGAACAAATAGATCCACGTAAAGACGACGCAACGGGCTTCCTTCGGGAGTATTATCGTACACATATTTCAGGACTGAACTGCTGAGGAGGTGACTGTGATCTCTGATGCGCACGATCTCGTCAATTATTTGGTCTTGTAATTTTCCGATCAAGAGCTTGTCGGCCAATACCCAGGTCTTGGCGAGGATTATGTTTTCTGCCATTCGTTCTTCGATATAATTTTCCGGGCCATCGTAACGGTTCTTCTCGGTGAGTTCCATGGTATCCAGCTTTTGAAAGTAGAACCAATGGACTAGCTGGTGTAATGCTTCCTTAGTTGTATCTCGGAGTCTATATTCTTGAGTTTGGCCTTCCATGAACTGGCTATTGAACGCAGCCTTGAGGACCGGCGAGTAGTGACAAGCAAACTCTTTATGGACGACGAACTTCTGCTCCTCGGCGGCAGCGAACAGAGTCACAAGTTGCTGAGAGTTCCTATGGCAAGTTAAAAGTTCTTCTTGTAAAGACCAAAGCCCGCCGGATTCCAGATCTTAGCGCCAACACACACGGGCAAACCGGAGTCGTGAACTTCTTTGACGTTCTCCAGGTTCAAGGGGGGCAAACAAGGGTTACATACTTGAGACTCAACTTCTTTGGCTTGTGATCTCTGAGGGGCTTGAATGGTGCTGAAAGTGATCTAGCTGACGAGATGGTCGTAGGGGCAAGGCCAGGAAGTCGATCCGCCATTTCTCGCAAGTCTGTAGCTACACGCTGGTCAGCTGGCGCTCCAGAAAGATATGCCGGATAACCCACGGTCGATCTTCGAAACAAGGATCGGGCTTTTCTGGGATCTATCGTTGCTATCGTCGCTATGCACCATGTTGGTTTCGAATTGAAGTTGAAGGTTGAGGGTTGAGGGTTGAAATAGAATACGTGGTCGAGGGTCCAGTTGACCTGTAAATGTCAACCGAGTTATTTCAGTGCCGTTTAGCGTAACGTAACGTGACCTCCCCCTTTGATGAAAAGGCAAGTGCGACCAACTCGACAACTCCACAACCCGACCAGCAATAAACCGACAAACTGCATCCAGACCTCAACGACTTTGGCTCAGAACTTCATACCTAGTCTCCTCGAAACGATTTTGCGATAGAACTTTGCCCGCTCGACAAGAGGCGTTGAATGGTCATTGAAATTGATAATCCAGATCTGCCACCAGACTCCAACTCCATTAAACAAGGTAGGCTGAGCCTCCTGTTCGGTGTTCCCGCTCATATATGTGGGCTTGACTAACCATTACGCAGGACAATGGGGGAAAGGTCTTGTCCTTAGGGATACTGAAAAAAAAATGCATCTTTGAATTGATTTCGTTGCGTATGTATCGGAGCGCCACCCTCCCTGTGCGTAACCGTGAACATCTCCAAACGATCATTGATGCTTGAAAACACCTTATCACCTCCATCCAGTATTCTAGCTCCGGTCTCTGTAGGTTTAATTTCCAGTGACATAAGAGCCGCAATGCTACCCAGATGCTTCCCAGTCCCCATCGTACTTCCCTTAACACCAAACCACCAAACCACCATATCAATCGACCTCTCCAGCCATCTTCCCCTCCATAGAAAAAGGCCTCAAGCTTCTAATAGACCATGAACTTCCTCATCTCTGGATGCTCCATGATTCCAAGCTGAGATTCATCCCGGCAGACCATACCGAGATACATTGCCAGAAATTCCAGCCGCTCAAACTTGTCGAGCTTATCCATATCTCTGTACGCTGCCCACGGGTAGAGGGGAAACGGCTCCAGCTCGACCCCCAGCGCCGTCCGAATCAGCCAGCTCGCGCAAACCGCCGCCCTCGTCAGAATCATGCCCATAACGGTCCACGAATCGCGCTCCTTGGGGTTCATCTCCCGGCCCCACTGCTCCATCTTCGCCTCCTGCAGCTTGATTTCCTCCGTGATGCGGAATATGAGGTGCGATTGCAAGCGGCGACACCTCAGCTCGTCGGCGACGACCCAGAGGCGGATCCAGTGGTCGAAGCGGTCGGCGAGCGGCCGGGAGAAGGTTGCGTGCATGAGCGGGACGTCGTCGCACCACTCGACCGCGCCGGTGTAGAAGAAGCGCACCAGCAGCCGCACCGTGATATCCTCGGCGTTCCAAACCGTCCAGGAGTTCAGGTAGGGCCCGTGGGGGTTTATCTGGCCGGTCCATCGCTTCAGCACGGGGGAGTGGGCGTGGGCGAGCTCCATGTCGACGGCGAAGCGTTCCGTGGGTACGCCCACTTGGTGGTGAGAGCCGACGATGTACAGTAGTCCGGGCGGTGCCACCACCCTGTGTAAGTGTTAGCCTCTTGAGATGCTGGGGGGGTGATGGGGTCTTACGGTCCTGTAGGCTGCTGGATCACGAATTGGCTCGGATTCGTGGCCGGCGATGCTCTGACAATCGGGGCCGGCAATGCTCTAAAGATCTTGGGGGCCTCTTGTCGTGTGCGCTCCGGCATAGGCCGTTGTCTCATGTCCAGCTGTGACATGTTTGCTTGTTGTTCGAGTTGCTCCTCGAAGGGTTCTGGGTGTATCTCGAAGAAGTCAACTTGCAGAATTTCGAGGGGGGCTGATTACAGTTGTTCTGGCGGAGTTGTGTGCGAGATGAGACGGAAAGTATCCACGGCGCGGAAGATTGTGCGGCTTAGATCTGAATTTTCTTTGCGTTTCAAAGGTGAATAGATCGGGAGTGCTAAGCGCCTTCAAAAATTATTCTAAGCGAGTGCTGATTTACACGTTAACCATTATGGAAACCGAGGATGCAGAAGCCAATCCCAGACCCCCGTCCCATTATAGCGCACACGCACGCACATCCAGCGACCGAATTCTTTCTCTCTCTACGATCTCAAAACTATTGTTTTCGCGGCTCGTATTGCTGGTGGAGTTGGAGTTTTGAAATATCCAGACCGGGCCGACGCGATTTATGGCTTTCTCATTGGCTCGCTTAGATCAAGCAGGGGTGAAGTAAACAAAGTTATCCCGCTCTGGGCTCAAGGTGCTACCGAGAAAACCCAGCGCGTAAATACCGCGTCGGTACTTTCACCATTGCAGCGCGTGTCACTCAGGATTCTTGATACTAGATTACGAAACCCGGTTGGTCGACAGCGACAGTCGTCCTGAGGCTGCGTTGGATAAAACCTAAATCCCATCGAGTCGGAGGTGTTTCTTCTCTCAGCTCATCCGAGCTTAGAGTCTCTTTTGGTCTTTTTTTTTATATAAAACATATGATGATTATTGAACCTTGATTCTAGGGGGAGAAGAAATCGAAACGTAACTAACACATACCTTACTTACCTCATTTACTTGCAGGTTGCCTGCCTGACCGACATCACCATAGCACCGAAGTTAGCCAAATCAACACCCCCTCCCCCCCTTCGAAAAAGAAAGCCACGACTTCATGTACCGTCATTGAATTTCCTGTCTGTCTATCTTTCTGCGAGAGAAAAAGATTATCCATCTACCCCCCTCCCCCCTTCCCACTACTCGACCCAATCTTGATCCAAGGGAGAGGCCCCTTTATTTTGGCTGAACAAAAACACCCCGATCTCCAGACTCCCCCAAATTCTCCCTTAACCCACCACAACCTGGTGTATCAGATGAAACCTCCAAACGGAAAGCACAAAAATAATCCCCCTACCCGAGCCATTCAGCTTCAAGGGATTCAGCAGTTGGTCTCATGCTCATCTAGCACGTAACAGAATAGATGTTAATACAAGTCATCATCATCATCATCATCATCATCATCATCATCATCATCATCATCATCATCATCATCATAATCATCCTGATCATCCTGATCATCCTGGATCGGACTCAAAAAAAAACTCGTTCCCCAAACTCCCCCCCCAAAATCACCAGAAAAAAGCTCCAGCTCCGCAACCATGAGAAGAAGCGCGGGAAAGAATTACTGATCTTCCCTAGACGTATGTAAAGGGGTATGTGATCTCCCACTCGGGGAGCAGGTATTCGTTCGTATTCGGAAACGCAAGTCGTCCTTCGTACTTGTCGCGCAAGTGACCCGTGAGCAGGAGGATCCACTCTACCATCATTTCCGGCGGGTAGAACTTGCCGGCCTCCTTGATATGCTCTTCGCTAAATCGCCACGCGTACTCCTGGACGATGTACTTGCGCAGGATACACCCCTCGTTACTATAACTGTACAGCAGAATAGTTGCATCTAAGCACGCAATCTTGGTCTCGGCGCGCACACGGACAAGCTCGTGGAGGCACTCGTTTTGAAGACGAGTCATTCCGAGGGATTCGGCGACCTGGAGAGAATAGATGTCAGCATATTTTTTACCAGGACTTCAAAGAGAAGATATAGTTGGTTGACTCACGAGCCAGAGATCGACCAGCAGAGATTGGACGTCGTGAATGGGCTCCATCGACAGTGGCGGACGTGGGAAGAGCTTGTTCGTGTAGAACCAGTTTTGGAGCCAGTGCATTGTTGGACCCATTCGGACATTGATATTGAAGGGATCGCGGTAGTTGTTCTTCTCGTGACCGTAGTGTGCCGCGAGGACGGGTGAGTGATAGAAGGCAAGGTCCCAATCGACGTAAACTTGGGCGGGTTCCGGCGCATTTGGGGTACCAGAATTGACAGGTTGGAATGAAAGTTTGATGAGGCAATCATTTTTATCGCTGTAAATGATGTTAGAAAGGTTTTGAAGCTTGTGGGAAAGGAAGGACTTACAATTGCGTTCCCTCACGTCCCATCGCCGCATTCCAGCGCATCGCAGCCGGATCACGCACACGCTTATCAGTGAGATGATGCTGGTGTGCCATTGCGGCCAACTGACGGACATTATTCCTGGCCATCACTTCTTCGGGTGAGACCTGGGGAAGACTGAATGAGGTCAGTACAAAGCCAAAAGATATCAAGAATATAGAAATATAACTTACGCAGCGGGCTGAGTGTTCTGATTCCAATTTGGACCATGACTTCCGTTACCACCCTGAGCTCTGTTGCCACTCTGGTTTCCCTGGCTTCCCTGATTTACCTGGCTTCCCTGATTTGCCTGGCTTCCCTGAGCTCTGCTCTGGTTTCTCTGGTTTCTCTGGCCTCCCTGGCCTCCCTGACCTCCCTGTCTACCGTTTTCAAACCGAATTTGGCCATCTGGGTTCTCTCTGCCTGGATCATGTCCATCCGGAGCCCGTAGGTTTCTAGTCTGGCGCTGGTCATGCTTGCCTTTCTCACCCCCAATATTCTGTCCATGAGCATTACGAGCTACATCTCCTGTGCCAGTTACGTTTCCATTCAAACCAGGTTGGATACTCTGCGGAGCGAACTGTGGCAAGTGTTCTTGGTCGTTCTGAGTTGGATTCTTTTGGGTAGCTTGGGGAGGTTGTCTTGCACCTTGTTGTGCAGACGACCTATTCAAGTTCTGGGAGTTGGGTGGTTGAGGTGGTTTCTGGGGTGCGATTCGAGCAGCTGCATCGACTGGGTTAGGTAGAGAGCTAGCCCGAAGAGCCGGTTGCTGAGCGGGTTGGGTAGGCTTAATAGGCTGTGAAGCTTGGCGAATCTTCTGTAACTGCTTATCTGGCAGTTGGTACTTGTCAACCAAGGCAGCATCGGAATGTTCCTGTGATTGCTGTGCATGCTTTTGAGCAGCAAGCCGAGGAGTGATCGCGTCAGTCTTCGCGTTCAACTTTTGTTGCTGCGGAATAGGATCTACTCTCTGGTTGGGGCTTTCCCACGAATTTTGCTGCAAAGACTCTTGCGATTGGTAAGCCTGTTTCTTCGTAGCAATCTGTGGCGTGATTGCGTTAGTCTTCGTGTTCAACTTTTGCTGCACCTGGACGGCTTCGGCTGCTACGTATTGGCTGCCGTATGAATTCTCTTGCGTAGGGATATACATGTCAAGAGCCGGATCGATGGGCGGGTATGCCGAGTATGTGAGTTGGTGGGCATTCGGCGGCGGGTGAGGATAGCCTTGGTCCATTGGAGGGTTGAACTGGTGTGCATTCGGGTGATGATAGCCTTGGTTCATTGGAGGATCGAACTGGTGGGCATTCGGGTGATAATAGCCTTGGTCCATTGGAGGATTGAACTGGTGGGCATCCGGGTGACGATAGCCTTGGTCCATGGGAAGATTGAACTGGTTGTTCATAGGAGGATTGAACTGGTCGGGATCTGGGTATTGCATCGACTGGACCGGTTGCCGAGGATCAAAATTTTGCTGACTCTTGCCGCCCATTACGCCTTTCGGAGCCTTCTTCCGAGCTTCCAGTGGAGCCTGGTACTGGTAGGTACTCTGCTCTTGCGGATGAAATTGTCGGGGATAGAGTTGGTAGTTCTCCTGCCCGAACTGATCATACTGATTCTGGGCAGGTACCATGTCTGTCATGGCCCTCGGAATCTCACGTTGGAGGTACTGGGAAGGAGCCACGACAGACCCGTTGTAGTTGGCGAGTACGCCCGGCGCGCCGCTCTGGGGCTCGCTCGAGACCTTCTGTCTCTTTGCTCTGGTAGAATCGCCGCCCATGGCCTCGGCGTTCCGCTTCAAGGACCCCTTAGGGGCCGCTTGTGCGCGCGCGAGTTGTTCGTCAAAGCCGGGGAGCACTCCAGGCGGGTAACCCTGGGGCTCGTGCAATATCTTCTGTCTCTTTGCTTCAATAGGAGCGTCGTCCATCTCTCCTGCTTTCCGCTTGGACGCCATAGTGCGCGTCAAGGCTTTGATGGAATTGAGGTGGCGTGGATACTAAACTGACGTCCTGGTCTTTGTAGATGTTAGTTTTGAATGGGCAGGAAGGGATCATCAGAGTCCTCACAGATGTCAAGGTGCTGCGTAAAAAGTACGATCTCTGAAGATTGAGTTGTGTTTTTGGGTGGTTGGAGGAAGGAGGAGGGAAGAAGAAGAAGAAGGTGGTTGAAAGATTTAAATTGATTGTGTGGGGGGTGCAGTTCACTTTCAATTCACCGGAGGCCGAACTGCCGCGATTTTGTTTTGAGACTATTGGCGCAGAGACTTCGTATTGTTGATACCGTGCGCGTGCGGGTGAATGTGTCGTGTTTGAAGGAAGGACGAGAAGGGGAAGAAGAAGATACCGGTAAGAATTACGGTCGGAGCGATTCAACTGCGGTGAATTTACCGAAGTCCTCGATCCTTGAATTTGAATTCTTGAGAGTTCGGGGGAGAGCAAAGCTGAATATATATGTATATGTATTAAGGGACCAGATATCTTCTGTATCATACTGCTTCAGCAACCCTCGAGTACAGGGGAAGTCTACGCAAAGATGTTCAGAAGCAATCCACTATCCAGCTCTCCAGCCCACTCTGATCTATCTCATGTCTGTGACTTGGAATGACCCCGTCAAGCCGATTACTTGGAAGACTCTAGCCACGCAGCAAGCCTGCTTCTGCTCTCCCCAAGTTAAAGACCAAGATACAACAAGGCCACAAGAACATGGGCTCGAGATCAGACAAAGGAGAAATCCAGTACGGGCATCGAGGCTTGATCCTCGCTCCAACTGAGCAAAGAGAACAACATAAAGACAATGCACACCTCGGGGAAAGCCCCGAATCCATAACCTCACCCTCGTACCCGGAGGCAAAACAGGGCCAAAGAAAAGAAGAGTGCCAGAATACAGAAGCCACCAGGAAATGCAACAGGACTTATGCTTTTCAAATAAGAAAGAGAAACACACGCAAGGCAAAAGCAAAGCAAGCTGCGTACAATTCTCAGATGCTTCTGCCTCCTCGCACACAGTCTCTCGAAATCAGACACATATCGGCTTGAACGACAGGACAGCCTCCCAGGTACCGGGCTCACGCCAAACCAGCTCCATCTCACGATACACAAGCTCCAGGGACCAGCCCAGCTCAGCCCAGTCCAGCCCTTCGATGTCGAAAGCCGTTCCCTCCAGCAGGCGAGAGACAGACCGACCGTCAACTCTCTTATTCTGGGTAATACACATCATATATCCATGAGCCAGCCAGTCAGTCAGACAGTCAGTTCGTTCTAAGGAGAGCAGATGAAGAAAAGATGAAGAAGAAGAAGGAGGAGGAAAGAAGGAAAGAAAGAAAGGAAAAGCCACTTGTATACGTATATATATCCCCACTAGCTGCTTCCACGGCTCAAACGTTTCGTCTTGGATGACTGATGGAAACGATGCTTAGAGACGGAGAAAATTAAGTTAAAGCAGCTACTCAACCAGCCAGCCAGCCTTCCTGTCCTTTCCTGTCCTATCCTGTTCTGTGAAAGGCTGCCAGTTAGTTACACTTTCCCAAGTCAAACCAGGAGAGAAGGAAGCATACCAAATACTCCTTCTCCTCTCTCTGTACCCCTTCCCTGTCTATCATCATCATCATCCTCTTCCCTCGCCGACTGAAAGCTAAGTAGTTCCCACCTCAAGCTCCCATCCCACTCTCTCAAGGTCCATCCTACTCAATCAATCAATCAATCAGTCAGTCAGTCGATCAATCAATCAAACATCTATTCTATAACAAACGAGACCAGGCCATGCCACACAGAATATCAAAATCCCCTTCCCAAAAACTGTCAACCAAGCCAAGAAGAGAGAGGTGTTACAACAGAATAAAGTAGCTAGGAGACCGGATCATCGGTTGTCGTTGAAATAAAGGAAACCATGTGCCGCCAAGACCTCCCTCCAGCTTATCCTCTTCGGGTCCAACCAAATGTGTTCGAAAGACAACCGCCTGCTTGCATCGTCGCACTCAAGGAGGCTTTTTATTAGGCATCAAGTACTACGTACAGCGATACCTAGTTTCTTGCATCGGTCTTGAAAAGGCCAAGCACTACGAAAAAGTATATATTATACTGTATCGCTGATTATTGTTATTACTATTAGCCGGCACGATGATTTATAGCCGACGTAGAAAATTTCGAATTCAAGATTCAAGGCAAGAGACAAAGGTAGATAATTCTCTCTGCACTCGCCATCAGAAATCGATTCATCATCCTCTTCTTCTAGAAGCATTCGCATCAAGATCAATCAATCCACCATCTTCTTCTTCTACAAGCTTGTTTACCTTTCGTCAACCTCGCATCATCAGATGATAATAAACACCATGCTACTACCGTCGCGATCTTGCTAGCCTTGAGCTCTCTTTTTGGTGGAGCTCAAGCATACATGTATTCTAGCGAGGGAAATACAGATTATCTCCAAGAGTAGTCGTCGGCTGTACCTCAGTTTCGAGAGTAAGTTTCACACTGATTTATATAATATAATATAATATAAGCTTCAAGCTTCAAGCTTCATACTACTTAACCACACGCGAATCTACAGGATCTGGCTCAGCGCATCAACAAAGACCACAAGCTACTCATAGAACAGTCTCCATCAGTTACCCAATCAGGACCTGGCTCTTATCTGTGTAAGTTTACTCTATCGATATGAAAATCGTGTATCATCTCTCGCACGCAGAGCTAATATATATAAAACGGTAGACGACCGTGAACTCTTGCAGGAGACAGAAGGGATGTGGTGTTGTGCTGTTGAAGCGGACGAGAAAAGCCTCAGAAGTATGAGCAAGAAGCCTACGTCCCGAAATCATACATCGGGACGGACTTTTCGGGTGGGCAAAGAGAACTACGTACGTATGGGACAAAGAAGAACGGGTCATCATAGTTACCTCCGGGATGTCGTAAAAGTGCAGCGCTGCGCTTCTTATAAGCTAGGAATTTGAGAAAGCAGCGGCACATGCTCATTCCAGAGAGTGTGATAAGTTCCGATGATAAGGATTTGGGTTTGCGGGCCGTTGTCAATTGGAGCGACAAGAAATGTTGGAAAATCAAAGGACAACCTGGACCGCAAGCTTGATCCTTTTCCAGAAACAACCTCATCCATTGGTACACTAAGTAGAGCTCATCCATTGTTCGCGTACTCCGTAATTGATCAAATCTAAACCTGAACCTCTCATTATTATTGTATTAACACCTTCATGCAATGCGTGTCCATTCATTACAACTACTTATATACTATGCGCATTCCTTAAGGTCAAAATTTATTATTGTATTACGTATAGTTCGCCTATCAACTTAATAATACAATTGCTATATAACAAATAAACTTTTCACGTGATGTAACCTTTTTTTCTCTTTCAATCCTTTAAGCATAGGTATACAGCTGCGTACGCTTTACATATGAATTATCTGTATGATTAATTATCAAAAGGCGATACGATTTAAGTTTCATTGTTGGAATTTTTTATTTAGGGAGGGTTTTTTTTATTTAGAGCGGATTTCTGGCCGTCGCTGGAGGGGAGGGGATGGGATGGAATGGGATGGATTCGCTTACGATGAAGATCCTAGTAGGACTATACTTTATTTTAAGGCGGAATACATGAACTGTGGTGAGATGGTGCAGCAGTAGTGGGGGGAAGGCGGGAGTATAGATAAATGATTGCAGTGATTGCAATAACTGCAATAACTACAGTAATTACAATAATGGCAATTATTAATTACGTTATTTGCAGTGACTGCAGTGATTATAGTGATTGCAGTGTGAGGTCAGTCGGCATCACCGTCCAAGGCGCCATACCTCAAAGTTCTTGTCTGGCAGCCTCTGCATTCAGCGAGACTACGATGCAGGGTCAGCAGATTCTTCCAGAGATGAAGTCATGAATGTAGCAATCCAGTTTCGTTGGTAGTCATCTGAGAGGGAAGCTAAATTACGGCTATATTGATTTGATCTCCCGAGTCGATGGCCAGAAGCAAAATCATCAATCATCATCAATCAAGCTCCGGATCCATCGGAAGCGAAAAAAAGAAAAAAAAAAAACACCGCTCGTCTTTTCGTTAGCCATCATGTAGTGCATCTTCATATCGAGAATAAACACGTCCAGCGTGTAAACACCCTTGTATAACCATCATCCTCCAGCAGTAATGAGGCGTTTTGCCAGCTGCATCATAAACGCCATCAGCACCAGTCGTAGCAACATCACCAAGCAATGCGTAAAAGTGAATCATCATCCATGATCCAATAATCAATCCATGTACTTCGACATAAGTTAGCCGTGCACTTTACAAAATAGCGAAACTTGGTAGCGGCTGACTTCGAAGCTCGAGAAAATTGAGGAAAGGGAGCAGGCAGAGTTTGTACATACGAAGTCTCCCTTGAGGATTCTCTCTTGGAAGGCATCAGGCTTCTGGCGCTCAGGTTTCGGTGGAGCAGCAGGAACCGCAGTAGGAGGAGGAGCCATCTCGCTGACACTCTTAGCGCGCTCATGGGCCGGCATGGGCTTAGCGCAAGTGGGAACGGAGAAGCTGGGGCGTTGAGTCTGTGAGACAGCACTCTGCGCGCGGGATCTAAACTGCTCGGACAAGTTGAAGCCACTGCCATCACCTGGGCGAGCAGACAGAGGATAGTCAGAAGCAGTTCTGGGCTTTGATTGCGTGCTTGCCTTATTTGCGTGAAACTGGGGGCTGGGAGGAGTCACACCTCCACCCTGAGAGCCCGAGCCCGAGCCCGAGCCCACGCGAGTACTGCGTGGCCGAGAAGCAATAGGTGGAAGGGGAGAATAAGAGGGTGGTCTACCGGCTGTGCCTGGGCTACCACCACCACCTCTCGCGCTCCGAAGAGCTTGTGCACCAAAAGAGATACGGCGTGTGAAGGGGGTTGCCGGGTTCCCGCGGCCCGGACCTTCCTCGTCATCGATGGCATTCTCGTCGACGGCCTCAGAGTTCGCGGTAGAGACGCTGCTACGTCGACCAGCAAATGGGAAGGGCGAAACTTGGGTTGGGGATGTGCCGAGACCAAGGGTTGAGATGGACGACATACGTCGACGTTGATCCTGAGCAGCGGCTGTGGCGATGGAGCCTGGGAAAGGAGGAGTCGGACCAGATGTGCTGTTGGACCGACCGACCGTCCCACCACCGAAGATGTTGTTGAAGGCTTGCGAGGTGAGGGAACCACGGCGGGCTCGGGAGGAGGCCTCATTGGGAGGGGTGGTATCACTGCCGTTGTTGTTCGACATGTTAAATGCTGGATGGTAACGGGCTATCAGTGTAGAGGTCTATTTGAGGGTTAGTGCGACCGATTATAGTGGTTTTGGGATGATATCAATGTCCCTCAGCTGCTCTCTTTCAGCGTGGGGGTGGTTGACTGACGTGGCTACTTCCGGGGGATGTGTGTTTGTGTGTGTGTGTGTGTTCTTTGTTGTCGGGGTATTTGCTCGCTTTTTTCGGAGCGTAGACGAGCTTTGTTTCTTTTGATGTCTTCCGCCGAAGACCAGGCTGCAGATGGAGGGAAGAGGATCTACGAATCTGTTGTGTGAGGTGAGGTGAGGTAAGGTGAGGTGAGGTGAGGTGAGGTGAGGTGAGGTGAGGAATCTGGAGGTTGATGGAATGGAATGGTGTCAGGATTTCAAGGTGAAGAGAGAGTTGGTTGTTCTGAGGAGAGAGAGCTCTCGTTTTGACTAGTGATAAGAGCCCCTCCACTAGTACCCAATCAGCGTAGCTCCCCACGGCATCGACCTATCAAAGCTCTGGCGGTGGAGGCGGAGCAGGGAATTCCTAGCCGCATAGTCATTTCGCGGGGTAGGCTAATCCCGAAGAAGCTTAATTGATGCCACTAAGACCTCGCCGTACTGGAAATAATCCGTTCCCGTACTCCGAGTTGTACAACAAGTACTGTCAGGAGAGATCGAAGCTTCTACTCTAGTTACCCGTTTCGAAGTCCCCCCCCAACCAAGGAACCAATCTAGGCATGTCTGCAATTTCTTATCCTTATCCCGATGTCTTGGTATCCTCTTATCAACACGTGCAGCTCTTATGGCAGCTTGTGTGCGATTCCTTATCCTTGTATTGATGTCTTAGTCTTCTCTCATCACCACGTGCTATGGCAGCTCTATCGACATTCCATCGGCGACAACAGCATGTTCAACTCCCGCCGTTCCCGTGTCCGGGACACAACCCCCCCCTCCCCCCCAGCGTCCCACTGCATGAAGGGCGTCAGCAAGATGCCGGGTGCTGCTCGATTGGAATGGCGGTAATGTAATCGGGAATCTCGCAGGCCTCAACGACCCTAGCCCTCCCCCCACCTGCAGCTTTAGACGAGACGCCCCAAGATTGGACAGGCTGTGCGAAGCTTTTGAACCGTTGAGGTAAAGCTACATCCATACATATACCGTACTGTACTACGTACGTAGTACTTCCCGCTTTGCTGCTTCAAACATATCAAGTAGTTAGTGCTGGGCCAAATACCCGAAAGTACCCTCCCTACTGTAACAATTGACATGCAGGTAGACGACGCCGTTTGCTTTGTCTTACCATGCGGACGTTGCTTGTTGTCTCGAGCGAGGCGACGATCAAATCATGCTGAAGATCTTTAGCCCTTTGCGTAACCCCTGGCCGGGTATGTCTTGGCTCAACGGAACGAGGTGTAAGATGCATAACATCACATGATATATATAGTGGTCGACCGTCATCACATAGTTCCAGAGAAGCCATTGCCACAGATAATGAAAGGTCGCTCTCAGTCTTTTCGTGCATCGATTGAGGCCCGATCCTGCAGGAAAAGTATGAGTTGCTGAGCGGGAGGAGACGAGGCATTCTGGTGTTGACAGAAAGAAAAAAGAGGTGTGTCATGTGGTAATCACGTGTAAACTGATGTCGTGACAATAAGGTGTGGTCTGTGCGTTAAAAGATTACTATTCTACATGGCATCTACCAACCCGTTACACGCGTCCGACCCGCCCGCCCTCGATTCAATATCAAACATGGCATCCGCAAATGCGCCACGCACGCCCAAGCCCATTACAATTGATATATCATCCGATGACGATGCGGATCTACTAGGTAAAACGCCAGCATCGGCCATATGTATCGACGACGACAGCCCCCGGCCAAAAAAAAGAGCGCGCACGTCTCTTCCCAAGTTCCAAAAATACGCCTTTAGCTCAAGCGTTTATGGGGGATCTAGCGATGATGAGGCGCTAGCTACCGCGTGTTCGGAAGTAGAGATGCAGCAAAAATTGATGCGAAGTTGGGTAGATGCTGGCATTTTGATGGCCATCAGGGAATTGGCTGCCGAGAAAGCCGGGGTGAAAGGGTAAGCTGACATGCTGCGGTTCGTGAAAGCTTTGCTAATAGTTGCAGTGCTGAACAAGTTACTGGCCAGACGAACATGACTAATGAGCTGGCTCGGCCTGTAAACCACAAATTCGTCCTTTCAACTCCAGTGGCCCCTCAGAGTACAGGCCCTCGACCGCAACGCGCTGGACCCTATATGAGTCCATACCAAGATACTCCGGTCCAGTATTCCTATCCGAATTCACCTCCCAAGAAATTCGGGCTCCAAGGGTATCAGGCTAGTCCAGCTCCATATCGTCGGTCGCCACGTACCCACCAACGTATGGAATATCCGCCAAATCCATCTCACAGTGCGACCACGCATTCTATCCAGCCTCACTATGCTACCCCTACTAGCTCCCTGATGTCTGATCACCCAAACCCCACCTTCAGCTCTTCAGCTCCTTCTCAATCTAGCCCCACCCCTCAGCAACATGTAGCTTACCACAGCGGTAAAACTCCCAAGCCCAACGACACAACCCGCCAGCCACTCACTCTTGCATGCACCAACTCCCAAACTTCCCAAACAACCTCTCGAAGCAAGGCTGCTGGTGTATCTCTTGTCCTTCCAGCAGATCAATTTCTGTCCTGGTTCGACTTGGTGCGTCGATACTGTCCCGTCAAAGAGAGATCCAGTGGAGTTGCTGGGTATAATAAATTCAAGGTACAACGCGCCGAATGGTTGGCAAAGCTGAAGATGAACGTCCCACCTTACAATACGCTATGCCACGCTGAACACGAGAAGCAAGAGGTGGAAGACGCTTGGGCTAAGACACCAAGCACGAAGCGAAGGCAGGTCGAGATGCTTGCGCATAAGTGCAAGTATAGGGTCACTGTTAATGTGCCGCTTCGAACTGTGCCCGCCGAGGTCGGCCCCTTCTCACTTAAGGCATTGGATACCCTGTACAAAGTACCATTATCACCGGACCAGAAAGAGACGCCCGTGCCTGGATCATCTCCAGCTTACTGACGCAAGGTTCCTTACTGACGCAAGGTTCCTTACTGATGCAAGGTTCCACAACGTGTGCTCGACTCCACAAGGCAAACACACTCTCGAAGCCCTGTGCAGACAAAATTCCCGTCGCCAAACGCAAAGCCATCGAAGCAGAAGCCAACCTTCTTGCAGCTGAGAGGAATCTGAAAATCTCTATGCCATTCAAAACGAATCCGAGCTTCCCAGAAAGAAAATCCGTCTATGAGGAGAAGCTCAAGACTTGGCTTTGCCAGCTTGGTCTCGACTACGGGCGGCTCTGCTTGTGTCCACCGAAGACTATTCCTCGAGGAGTTACATATCTGGAAACTATAGAAACTGCTGGTATATCACAGGCGTTGGTTCGATGGTAAGACTAGTCTTGTTGGTTGCTGTATTTGTTGTTGCGTCTGACCTATCCTAGAGGTCCTAGGAATCATGTACTTGTCCTAACCACTCCATGGTACTCAATCGTATTCCGACAGAATCTGTATGGAACTCCCTCGGAGCGGAGCGGAGCGGAGCGGACAAGCGCCAAGCTATCGATACAGTAGGTAGCAAAACAGCGTACTACAAAGCATCCTCCACGTGAAAATATGCCCTTCCTTTCCATCTCATTTTTCTTTTCTTTCCTTTTCTTCTCTCTGTCTTATCAAAATCCACAATCGGTCTAGGGACGTACATATATATTTATAGGTAACAGCCCTCCAAACCTTGAAATATGGGGAAGGGTTTTACCACCCCACCTTTTTCCACTCTATCTTTGCACCCTACCTTTTCACCCCGCCTTCCCCCCCTCCCCCTACCCCCT